AGAAATCTAAGGACAGCGACTAAAGTACAATTCGATTTATTGTATTTCATTTTTCATTTGCCACGATAGCGTAGAATAAGTCCAGACAACCAGGAGCCACTTCTTACAGTGGGCCCGTCAGAAGAGTTTTACCAGTGGAGAAACTACTGGGTTTTTAATTCCGGCTGGTATCGTCTTAGGGTCCTCACGAACCCACCAAGGTGAAATGATCTGTAGTGTCACACACATCCCCAAGATCAGTAGCCTAGGGCTCGACGGGATTCAGTACTGATGCCGACCTTGATAGTTTAACCGGACTCGCTAAGCTGAAGGCAACCGGTCAAGCATCCTCGCCATTCGGCACGCCCTCGTGTTACGTTGCACTGCTCTTACTCGACTCTCTAGCCAGCTAGTTTGGAACTCATCGGTATCCTGGCACGACCTCACAAATACACCATTTCATCTGACCACGCTATTGTGTTCTTTCGTGGTCTCGTATTCGTAGGTACGTGACAAGTGATTGGTCTTTGCGTCTGTCATGTTCTCATCAGGGCAATTCCTAACGTCTGTACGGCGTTTCCGGTGCAATAGACGTTTAAACTGCCAGTGGTGTGGTTATATTGCTGTCTTGGGAAATCCGGAGTACGTATTTCGAAGTAAGACAAGTACTTTCTCAACGGCAGCAAGACATGTATTTAACAGGTTGAGATATTTGGAATTCTAGCTTCACAGCAGCGGAGAAGTTGGTACTCAAGAGGGGCCAAGGAGTTTGTGGATGGTTTGGGCATGCTACCGATAAAAATTTATGTTGTTTATTCTGTGAAAATAGTCCCCTCAAATACTTGGAGGTAGTAACTGCTATTCAGGCATATGAACTGACTGCTTCAGACCAAGTACAATGTCTCCAGTATTTGCGGTCCAGAGAATGATGGCAAAAGTACAGATTGGCAGATGTGATGATTATCTGTTCAGGAATTAAACGCTAACTGATTGTCAGTACGATACTGTTTTTAAAACAGCAACCCTTTTATCGACGAAATGGGTCAGTTCCATGTGTAAAGCAGAAGAAAACGTTTCTATGGAGTCTGCAAAACTGGCACTTATTCAAGTTATGTGAAATGAGTACTCCGATTACCAGTGTTTGTCGAGAGTTTCCGAGATCCAAATCTGACTGGATACAGTTGAAAATTTTTGCAGTTCGTTGGAGAGTTGCTACAGTGAGATCGCACACTGGCAGACGGGCCTCCGCTCAAACCCAGCTCCATCATGAAAGTACTCGAATTCCGTTTAAAATCGACTCGTTTCACGTTTAGAAGAAAGTTATACGAGTAAGCGAATGGATTAATAGTGGGTTCTTCGGTATCCCTGATGGTCGCAAACCTATTCACGTCTTGCACTTAATCAGTTATCCTTTCAAACCCCACCAAACCACGTATCAGGGTCAGGTTTTGAGACGGCACATTTGCAGTTTTTTAAGGACCCGCCCCCAGAAATTTTTCGAAATTAATTAATACCTTCCTTTACACAGTAAATTCACGTGTGAATGCCAAAATACAAGTGCCAAACTGCCATCCCCAGACTTTTTAGCCAAAAGGGAAGGAAACAAAAGTCCGGTTGCATCGATTTACTATAAACCAACGCAGGTCAATGTCTTAATTTAAGCTCGGCTGGTCAACTCAGTGCTGAACTTTAATTTGCTCGAAGCACACTCAGGAAAGCCTCAAAGCTCATCAAGAACGAAGATGACGGACAGACAAGTAAGAAACGTATCAGATGCTCAGAATTCAAATGACCATCTCAAGAATATCATTCGGAAAATTCGGTAACATGAGAAAAACTGTCAGAGCGGGAAATCGAGTGATGATTTGTGGATTAGCACAGTAATTCTACCATTCCGCTAAGGTACATTTGAGGGGCTGAAGGAGATCTGAGGATGGCACCAAGCTAGAGCCTTTTACTAGACAACCAACACTGTCGGGAATGCTTAAGTCCAATTAAGCGATAAAACTCCTTATACTTCCCCACACTAGGCTGTTGATTGTGGTACCTATTATATTGAGGACTCATCCAATGAGATCATCTCACGCTCTAAAGAATGAGCAAGTTACACAAAACGACTGTCAAACAACCCATCAACCGGTGACTACCACGAAAATGGTTATGAGGCTAGTTGATTTACGCAAGCTTGGATCTGAATTACACCCAGCTGTATGCATGAACCACCTTAAGATGGTGGTAATGCCCCCTTTCTCCAGCTGACCCTTATCAAAGTCGGCAAATGAAGTGAGTCAAGACCTAGTCCTCAGCTGAACTTCTCCGTGGAGAAATGTACTATGTGAGAAATGGGTTAGTTAGACATCAGCGAAGGTTGACTATAAATTTCCTGTCAAACTCACCCAGATCCTTTGAATCCCGATCCCGCACAAGTGCTTGCCATATGCATGGGATAATCATGGTAAACAAAGTGTGCACTGAACAGTAGAACACAAACCACAGAATTACCTCTACGATCTCAAAAAAAATAGCAAAATACCATCTTTGGTCCACAGCTGTTTGTCCATTCATATAAATCATTATACATGACTTGATTGTCTTCATCGATGCGATCGCCGTGCTCTCTCGCAATCACTTTTGCAGCGAGCAGGCCATACGGAATTTCGGTATCGCTTTCGTGGACGGATGCAAGAATCACTTTCAGCCTATGCATAATGATGTCCGCTTTCAAAAGAGGATTCACATGCCATCACTTTTGGCGCCAGAAATAGCACTTTTTTCAAACAGACTTGGTGTCTTGCTATCTGAAGAGATCTGAATATGATACAAATAATAATTGGGTGGCCAAGTAACACTCCATTTGCGCCGTGTACTTTACTGAGGGAATTGGGGGAAATATTCGCAGCATACCGTACCCGCCTTTATCACTCTCAGACCGCCTTCGGAGGCCAAAATTAGAAAGTTATCATCCGCAGTAGGCTATCTGAGGATAAGGATGAAGATCTAGGGCAACGTACACTTTAGCGAGACCAGAAGGCTGTTGAATTCTCTTCTGAAAGTTGGTTTTGCTTCTCCCTTTAGCTTTATAAGGTGCAGTTAGATGTCCAGTTTTAGCCCCTGTGAAGTCAACGATCAGCGATTTTAGGAATGCTTTGAAACGTGGGTAACATAAATCTCAGAAGTGAACTGATAACACTAGGTAGTGTCCTTGTTTTGTTCAGTATACCAGGACGACAAAAAATCATTTATCCCTCCTTACGAGAAAATCTTCGATAAATTAGAATTTTGTAACTTTCGATCAAGAAACTTGTTTCTTGTACGCTACGAAGTTTCTATGGTAGAGCATGAGAAAGCACTGTGTGAAGGTCCATGTCATTTTTTGCAGTCAGTGTGTGTAAACTGTGGAAGTTCCTTAATGAAGGCCGTAGAAACTCTTACGTTGACTTTTCCAGGAGCAGATAGGCACACTAAGCGATAGCTGGTGCGCGTGTGTTGTACTTAATTTAGTTCATGCTGTCCTACCGGCCGTGTGCAACAACACAATCGATAGCGCGTTGAATAACTTAAAATTGACTCTCTCCTAGTCGCTCCAAAGTTTTCAGTAACTCTAAAGATTTTAGACCGTTCCAGGCAAAAACCCATCCTCTTAAGACCGAGCTAGAGCTCAAGGGATCAGTGTTCATTGGAACCCATTGCCTGTCGACGCTGCTGCTGCTTCGTCTGTGAACAGCTTCAAAAAGAGGTCGGAGGACGGGGCAGCGACACACGGATGGTATTCGTCCAGCGGGATACCGATTAGGTTGACACGATGAATTTATTCTGCGGAACTCAATACTGTCAACCCAAACCACTCGTACCACCACTATCATAGCGAACTTTGGCCATACTCATACTTCCATATCAGTCGTCTCACCTCCAGGTACCATACCTCCAATAATAACATTATTTTTATTCCCATAGTCCATCCCGTAATTTACTAGTTCCTTCCCCTACCTCTGATTCCTTCTGGTGCTGTTATCTCATTCTGTTTATCCGGGCCCTCCCTATCACTGTCACCTCCCTTGAGTCTATCTAGGCTTCTCCTTGCCTTCCGCCCTTCTTCCTTTCACTTTGTTTTTTCGCACTTCATCTCCCTTGATCTTGTCGAGCTCTGATATTCGACTCCAAATTTAGACACCCGTCCAGATACACTATCGCCTGTCTATTATTCTCAACGCTGCTGATCCACCTGAGTAAGACAGTGAGGGTATCAGGAGTTAAGGCGAAGTACATACCAGGAAATCGTATTGGTCAACTAAACAAATGTTCGACTACGAGTTATGAAATATATGTGTACAATACTGTGAAATAAATGCTACAGCATCGGCAGACAACGTTTTCTCCTTTTTACCTTCTTTTTGCAGCTAGTCCAAACAACCCTCTGGTGGCACGGCACTTGAGGAACCCATCTGCGCCACGGGCCTTAGAGATGTAGCACAACCCATACAAATCCACTTAACACTCAACCAACCCTCCGGCAAACCACAGCTGCAGTAAGCGAGTCGGCAAACATATTGCATCAGAATCCACCAGGTGCCCGGAACCATTACGCGAGACCTAGAACTGAGCGCGAAAAAATCAGTTGCCTTGTACTGGCTTGTAAAAGTATTGGACATATAATTTCTACAATATGAAGTGTGACTTTCGTTAAGGAATTATTGTAAAGCACTCAAAATCCTACTTATTCACCTTCCGGTTTTGATTTCCAGGTTGCCTCACCTCTTCGTTGTCAAACTTTGCAGTTTGTCAGTTTTCTTTTATGGTTAAATAAAAGTACATCCGGTGTATTTGCTGAGTCATTGGCTCGCCTTTTCCTCTTCCTCTAGTGGGCATCGCTAAACTTACACTGGTCTACGCCCCCCTTGCAACAACATGCCTACCTGCTTACCTACCTACTGTCTAGACGAAAACGTATCAACAGCTGGTCGTTACATAGGGAAGAGCGATTTTTCAAACTTTGTGTTACTCTAAGTGAGGTAGCATTCTGAATGAAAAGAACTAGGTGTGTTCATCTTTAGGTTATAATAATGATTTAGTTCTTGGCTAAAATGTCTCCTATGCCATAAGGGTTCACAGAAGTCTCCGAAAAGTACTGATTTTGACTTCGCTAATTGTGATAACAGGCCGCATTTCAACAATATCAAGCAGTTGGACCAGGATGGAAGTGTTAGGGAAACTTTGTCTTTTTCCACTGCTAGCCAGACTCCAGGTTGCGGGGATGGGGGTTCAGCAAGTCTTGGTGACTGGTCTACGGTGCATCAGGTTGATAGTGTCGACGCCTCAAAAGTGAATCTGTTGTGTGAAGGTAGTAGTAACAGTTCATCTGCTGTTGTGGGTGTTCTTAGTCGACCAGATTTCTGTGATCGTTTAGAGTCTATAGTAAGTCGTCTTGAAAAAATCGCTAAATTAAGTTCACCAGGTAAGTGCCTTTAATATTCTTAAACTTTGCAGAGAAACCACCTGGGCTAATTGCATTCGAGTCACTAATGTCAGGAAGTCTTAAGAACTACATAGCATGTAGCAAGAAGCTTGGAGGAAATATACTGTCTCAGGTAAACAGAAATACTGTACTAGTAACTTTTAGTCGAAATGTGTTCATGATGCGTTCGGTCTTGTCAGGGATCTCATCGAGAATTCTGCCTTTTATAACAAGCCAAGTGAATTAGAAATGGGTATCCACCTAAAAGCTCTTCATTTCAAGCTCATTGAGATCGCAGTATGTTGAATTGTCTTAATAATCTGAATATAGGAAAGAACTTCAGCGTCGAAGCTTTATCGGTACGCAAACATCAGTTATCAACTATTGCTGATTCAGTTCTTATACTAAACTGGGTTGGAACCGTAAGTTTAGGCGTCTTTTATGAAAACAAATTTAGTCATCGGCGCTGCAGTTTGTCAAAGAAATGAAGGACTCCACATGGTTATATGCAAACAAAGTTGTTCAATACTGCCGTACCGGGTAAGTTTTGGTATATATATAATTCCCATACAAGGCTAAGACTAGTAGTCAGGAACTTCATGAACCGATGTCACATTTAAGTCTTACGGCTCTAACCGTTTTCCAGCCGGAATCTACTTCGGGGAATATTGTTGTACAAACTAAGCGATACCTAGGCATGCGAAACATGTCCTTATCATCTTAGACTCATCAACTAGTTTCCTCTTCTCCCCAAGGTTCTGCTTCTGACTTTAACGTCGCTGATATGATGGCACCACGACACAACCGGTGCTGCCAAGGCGATGGTGGTTAAACGCAGCCTTCTCGTTCCATCTGCCCTGAGTGGCCCTGTTTCACATCCATCTAGTGAGACGGGACACCGCCGTCAGTAGACAGATGGACGTCACACCAGCATCATAGATAATGTAAGTTGACATAAGCCAATCAAGCTTTTCGTACCTTGCACAGGTTTCGTCAGAAACGGACAGTTTAAAGCTGATATAACTTCTCAAGTAAGTGAAGTGATTGAGCACGTTGACCACTTCACTGCTTATTGTCAGACAAGGCATCAATGCAAACCAGTCTTGGAGAAACCATTTACACTTAGATGGTAAGAAACATCCTAAACATCCTCAAATCGCCAGTTGATGTGTCAAAAAGACTTTGTATCTTGTCAATATCTTTACCCAAGAGTATAGTGTTATTTACATACTCCAGATTTACTGACGAATCTCTAGTTATAAGGTCAATATTCACAATGGCAGATGAAAAAGAGATCTCCATAGCTACGTCTATGACAAGATTAAATAAGTTTGGGGAGAGTGGGCGTCATCGATGCACATCATCTGACATACGCAACTAACCTCATAACTCGAAATAGACGTTTGCTCACCCATGGGTTTTCATACATGGAGCCTTCAACAGGGTGGTGTACTAGTGAAGTACCTCCATAAGACCTCGATCATCGGAGTCGAATGCCGTCTTCAGGCACAGACACAACTAGTTTCTGGGACCAGTAAGGATGCTTGTGTTCCAGGAACAGGTGTAGGGGTGAATGTCTTGTTGATAGACCCTTGACCAGGTAGGTCTCAAACCTATCTAGTTTCCTGTTCCCAATCTTCACTTAAACGTTTCATGTAAAAAAGATGGGTCATTTGACTAGGTTGTTAATCTGTATCAATTCAGTTGTCTTGAAAGTGTAATGCCTGCCTAGTCACCATCTGTCTCGTCGAACAAATACAGATGAAATTGGTCGACTGGGAAAAGGTTACATATGATTAGAGTATTGTTTGTGTAGATAAATGTAGAGTACCAAGCTGACATCTGTGTCCCAACCGAAATCAATGATTGAAGACTGTGACATAACTCAGAGTCGATCTCAGTAGCGTAGATTTACCCTAGTCGTTACATCGCATTTCGTTACTCATCTTACTGCCTTCTGTGGTCTTACGAATTTACATAGCTTCAGATAATATTCTCTTCCCCTTCTCTGTCTTCCATTTTGTCAGCTTGTGTTGTGATGTGCTAATATGAAATCATTGTGCTCTAGTTGTTTATGTTCTAAAGGAAATGGAACTTCATTGCCTTATTAATTATTGAGTTGTGTGTAGGCCTGTAAGGTAGTTCGGCGTATTTTTTATAACGAAATTTGATATTTGTAAATGATTGGTTACGCGCAAAATGATTATCACAGAAGGCTAAGAAGTAACTCTACATCCATTAGCCAGAAAGTATTGGTTATCTTCAGACTTTCACCAGCATTGTTAAATAATTCCACATTTCTAGCTAGATGATGTTTATTCATATTACTTCGATTTCATTTATTGCTTAGAAGTAAAATTTCTATTTTGCTCGATAAAACAAAGTAGAGTTTGTATAATATAGGCTACAAAATGCAATGCAGTCAAGTTAGTTTCATTGATGACCACTGGGTTTGGGCTTAGAAACTAGTCGTCACTTGACTGGATTAAACTGACTATACCACTTCATGTATACACCTTTCTATGGAGCCACACAATATTATCTCTATATTGAGCCTTCCAGCCAACTCTTAATAATAATAAAAGTATTTTCTAAACTTTATGACTAGCTTATTACTTTATTTCCTTAGAATAAATATGTTGCTTTTTCTCAATGTTTCCAAGCTGCTTCCATTCATTCGCTGCCCTCATTTTCTATTCTTATTGAATGAGAGCTTTTCAAGTGCTTACGTAAAGGAGTATGCAGTTCTCATAGCATGCACTGTCATTCTACACCTGACAGTATGTTGCGTCATTTTTAATCTGGGATCCTGTTACGATACAACGCTCCAAAACGATTTGATTAACGATAGAACAATCAACTCGATATTGAGCTGACACCAGAAGAAGACGATGGAATTGAAAGTTTATTTACTCCAACCGAATAATGATAGGTCAAAACTCAGTCGTTTATATATCCTTAGATGGGCGTGCTCAAAGAAAACAAAATGGCATATTCAAAGTGTAAAATGGGCCAATCAGCATTTAATATCCTAAACTGCGGTAAAAATAAGAAGCATAACATGGCGCGAAAATGAGGCTCATAGTTTACAATGATAATATAAACATATAAGTTAGTTATCTTAGGGACTGACCATCCCTAACAGATCCTACTTGTTTTCTTCATACAAGTGTAATGAGAAGTAAGGGAACCTGAGGTGGAGACTGATTTAGAGCTTTCATGATCGTGTGGATAAGATAGCCGGGATATTTAATGAATGAAGGCTGGATAATCTAAGGAATGTTCCGAAGGCAGTCATTAAAAACGTTTTATCGGGAAACTACGAATTATCTAATTCTTTTTGACATTGAATTGTGGATAACTTACTGCTTTCCTTGTTATTTTTAAGCCAAACAGTTTGAGATTGCTAGTTAAACTAAGAACTATATTTCGTAACTAGATCAGTGAATAATTTTACACATCATATTACTGCTAGTATCGTGTGCTTCTAAAAATAGTTAGTTGCGTAAGATTCTTCTTCTCAGCCCACCTGGTTTTTCAAGTTACTAAGTCTACAAATGAAGAATAAATCACGTCAAGATAGCTACATCAAATCTCACTTATTGCGTCAAGTACTTTCTCTTCGATCATGCAGATAATTTCCACTCGTTTCAACGCTAAGTTTTTTCTGTTTCTTCCACTTTCAATGTAATGGGTTTATTCACTATATTTTATTGTAGAGCTGTGGTTCATTAAATTAGGTTCTCAACTGTCAGCCATTAGGCCACGGGTCCTGATTCTGCTTCATCTTTTGAGATCTTATCAGTCAGGTAGTAAGTGTCACAGCTATCAAATAATATCTACAACCTATCGACTAGTGTATGAACATGCACGTGGTCGCTTATTTACACTACGTTTTTTGTGCAAACCACTACAGGCAATACGTTTACCGTTTTATTCGACAAAAAGTTGGAAGTTTCAGTTTTATTGCTAAATAGCATTATTGTCACTTGCGATTATTTGATCTCTTTATTACGTATTTATGTAGTCTTCCACAACATGTTGAGTGGATGCACTCATGGCTTGCTTGTTTGGATGAACTGTGCACAGTTGTTGAAGAACATTTTCCGTATGGTTTGAAATGGAATGATAATGGTCCTAAACTCCCTTTACCAATTGCTGAAATACGTCCAGCTCAGCGTTCGCAGCAGAATTGGGGTACTGACGTACACGATAAAACCTCAGCGAAGGTAATAAAATTGTGTAAAATTTTACTTACCACTCATTTTCCTACCACATATAGTTTTAATACTCATTATTGAATAAAAACATTTTTGGTGAACGTTATATCCAGCGGCTAATAATCTGTGAAGTTATGAACTTTTTTGTATTCTAAATGTTCATAATGTAAATGTCAGTATAAAACACCTCTTGGTAAACGTAAATGAAACAGTACCGCTGATACATGCATCAAGTTGAAGATATGACAAAAGTTCTGCATGTGGAGTTGCATTCGGACAGTACAGACTCGCAAATACTGGCTATATACGCCAATAAAATTGTAAAATGCCGAGTACTTGGATTTCAACGTAATATCACTCTGAAATGTCTGTTTCCTAACCGTAAGCAGCAGCTGAGATATATTATGGTACTGTTCCATTGAATTAGGATGCCTGCAAGCTCTGTGTACGAACATCTGTTGTGGTTTTAGAGCCTATAGTGAGCTATCAGGTGGATTATCTACTTTTAATACTGTCTATCAAGGATGACTATTCCATTTTGTTTACGATCGCTACGAAGGTTAACATCCCCTTATCTGACTTTGAAAAGATTGTTTAATTCATGTGATTTCTTGGTGAATTTTAAACACAGAGGGGGTTTAGTCCTGTTAAGAGAAAATGCTGACGCCACACAGTTTTCTGAATACGTTTAGTAACAAAATGGACTAGATACAGTAGAGGTTTTTTTGACTGAGTTCGGGTTTATTAACCTGAATTAAATCACTAAGTGACATTTATTTCAGGAATTAGTGGAAAAGTATGGAAAACTAAGCAACTCTTGTTTAAACACATACACCTGGAACTCTCATCAAGTTGGGGCTAAAACATTCAGGCCTTCCAGAAAGTATGCTACACTTGAAGTATTTTGTTGAATATCAGGTTGGCACAATACAGCTGTATCAACTATCTTTTCTTACTCATAACTAATCCAATCCCCCAAGTTAAGGGTTCTCATTGGAAGCTTTCGTAATCTACACATTGTCCTTATTGCAACGTCTGGTCAAGCTTCATTCTTAAGGTTTTTCGATGGGTCATGATGGGAGCTGTGTCCAAAGACTACTAAGTTAGACAATAATTTAAATCTCAGCATCATTAAGACACTGTAGCTGATAATTTAGTATGACTATTAGGTGACTTTAAAAGTTGAGAAATCGCAGCCAGCATCTTGTTTGACAGACATACAATTTAAATTTGGATAAGTTTACTCTTAGTGCCAACACTAACACAAGTTATAGTCAAGAAATTATTCAGTCTGTTAGACCGCCGAGTTATGGCTCAGAAAGTCACCTCACAACCATCAAATTACAGTTGTCCATCCTAGTAGTAGTATCTTCAGCTGTCACACAATAAAGTAACACACTATGTCAACCACAAATGTACATAGATAATTAGTATTCTTTTTCAGCTTCACTTTTGTGCTATACTCAGTTGACTTGCCTGTTTTTCTTTTTTTTTATTATCTTAGCCTTTTCGTCCTAAAATGTCGGTACCATCGCAGTCAACATCGAGTGACCTGACTCAACTGTTCTATGAACTGAAAAACGCTCATAAAAATCTGCGTCATGTTAGTGTACCTGATATACTTTAGGGACAATGAAAATTATGCCGTTGAGTGAGTATACTACTTTTTGTAGATAGTAAAATTTTTTCTTTAAACTTTTACGCCACCAATCTAACCGGTGTAATATTTAAAAAGTACAACGTGCTATCCGAATTTTGACAGTATGTCAAACGTCGTTATCATCGAAATCTTTAAACATTTTCAATCAAATGTTAGTGTATTATTTTTGTTGTGCGACCATTATAATAAATGTGAATTCAATTCTAATATAGGTTATTATTGTCATATGACATAATTTGCTACATTAACAGTATCACAAACTGTAATTCCTCTTTTTGACTTCTAAAAAGTTAAACGTGCGAAAACGGAACAGCTGAAAGGTAATGGAATTCATAGGATTGCCTGACAACTAAATCGAGACGAATACATTATTCTAGAAGTACCTTTTGTTAATTCTTTAGTATATGTCTAGAAAGTAGTCTAAAAATCGAAAACGGCAAAGATACTTTTTCCCATAGGTTGAAAAACCAATGTGATCTGTCGGCGAATTATCGTCATCAAACTAGTCATTACAATGACTCACTTGCTATTTGAGTGTCTATTGGAAAATACCACTTTCTAAAGATTCCACTAAAAGCATGTTAGGTTATCTTTAATCACTGTCGAAAATTTCCAGGTATGCCCCTCTAGTTTTAGCATTAAACTTCAAGCAGCGGGTTCGAACCCCACTTTTCTTGTTAAGACCTGTGCAACATAGTAGCATAAAAAACACAATCAGTGTAGTTCATAATTTAGTACATAGCAAATGGGCTGAATTGCATCCCTATTTTTACCTTCAGGTTCAGTGTGGAGTCTTAGATTTGACCCCAAAATCTTGTGGTCACAATCGGTCCACCCCTAGATTACTTTTTTGTGCACATCAGTCAAGTTATTTTCTTGGTATTGTAATTCATAAGATGTAAATTTTCATATACAGCAGCAATTACATAAGTATTACTCATTAAAGTATGATTTTTCTACAAGTTTATTGGTAGTAATTCTTATACCTTCTTGTTGTCATTATTGGAATCGGACACTGGTGTATGGATTATTTTACAGAGAAATCGAATGTTACGTGAAATTTAAGGATATTCCTCCAGGTAACCAAGTTAAAGAAATTAATACTAGACTCTCCTAGATTGTTGTTAGGGCACATTAAGCAATACAGCTGTTGAGAAAGTTAACCATTTTATGACATTGTCGAAAGATTTCAGTTACCACCGGACACTTGAGGATAATAGTGACGTATATATGATCTAGTTGTGTATTTGCCATGTATAAAACCTGACACTGAAGCTTAATGCTACTTAGATTTACAGACACATTTTGTGATGTAATCTTTCTGAGGTTGTCAAGATGATAAGAATCAATAGTTCAAGTCTCTAGGTGATATGGCTCAAAATCGATGACAACGGTACAAATGTTTACACTGTCTGTCATCGAAATTTCGGACGTTTTATTCACCAGCACATAATCTTTCCCACTCTTCTTATGCACCTTTGTCACTCTTTTTATTTCCATTACTTCTCTGCACGCTGCTGTAAAATGTCACTAGAACTTGTTGCATCTAATATCCCATTTTCTATGTTGACTTGTCTGTGATAGTGTAAAAAAAGATGCAACATAGTCCTTATTGTCTTTAACCACTTTTTACCGCACACTCAACGCTAATGACTTCCTTATTGCACGATGAACTTTTGCGAAAACAGCATTTTATTGCCACCCATTTCACCTAATTCATATTTGCTTTGTTTTGATTATTATAGATCGTCATATTGCTTCTGTTGGGAGTCTGGAAATGTGCCTTCTTTCGAAGTGAAACAAAGCTCCGGATCATGTTGATATTATTTTGCATTCGATACTCTGAAGATATATACATATTCCTGGCCATATGCATTTATATTATTTATTGTTTTCATTCTCTTACTTTCTTTCTATTCTGTGGCAGATGAACGATACTTGTTTGATCTCGCTTTTATTTATTATTAATGTACAATAAACTCCGTAAAAGACCACGATATGAATTGGATTGCGCGTTCACTTGTGTTTTTTCCTTATGGCTAAATTCTACACTTGTGTCCGAATAAGTACGCAGAAGAAAAGTAATTCTACAGTTTTGTTATCCTTTAGTTTCTTGTACGAATGTTTGGGTATTTCTTTATATCATAATTTTGTAGTGGCTAGGAGTGGAGTCTAAGACATATTGTAATACTTGCTACATTTACTAAAACAGACCTACTTGTCGTAGATAGTGTCTTGTTGTTTGAAGCGATGGTTACTGAAGTCCCAGTTAGGAAAGTCACACATCCGGATGGAAGTTTATCTGGTTAACGAGTATTAAAAAAAATGTCGAAACACCCATATTCGGTAGCACCACTAGACATAAATATAGTTATGAGTGTATGTTGAATAGACAACGCAAGGAACCAAATTATTTGCAAGTCTAACCATGGAAATCTGTTCCAACTCTTGTAGCCGTAGCACTAAACTTTTAACATCCTTTTATGTTCATTAGTTTCTTCAAGGTTGATGATTTAAAATCACAAAAGAATAAGCGTAATGCAAAATACTCTTGGAATGTGCACGTGTTCTTATCATACTACCGATTTTGAGAGTTATTTTTTTCCTTAAGGTTTTGAATTTGTGGATTTTCCGATTTTGCTGTATCTAACAGGATTGTAGTATTTTGTATGTTCAAAAGAGATAAATCTGTCGATAACCAGTCACGGTTGATGTCATGTGATTTTCACAAATCGCGAGTCATAGAAATAATCTCTAACACTCTACTTAGTTAATTTAACAGCAGAGTAACACTTAGTTTTGGAAACTAAAATTTTTTCTAACCCTGAGTCATCATAATATTTTGGTTTTAAGTGATGAAAATATACTATAAATGGTATATTTATGACATCATAGTCTTATTATGAGGTCGATAAAGTCTCCTACTAGGGTTGTTAGATTACGCAATAAGCGTCAACCAGCATCGACGTTATCTCAAGGAGTGTTTTCAAAAGCGTCTATTTCTAAGGTAAAGACTTGAGCATTTTTGATTAAGTCACAGCTTATCCCACTTGAAGATTTGAGTATCAAGAACATTTCTATGCTGTAAAGTATTTGTATGTACGCATGTAAGTTGTGTGAGCAAATGAAAAAAAAATTATCAAGGCAATGCTTCAAAAACAACTTTGACTATTATTGTAAAAAAAAGCAAGGTAAAATACCAACATTTCTGAAAATCGGAATGAGATTCTTTGATATAAGAAGCATTTCAGATCAAGGAAAAGAGATTAGTTTGCACGTACAATGAAAATAAATATTATATCCAATATACGTTGTCGTACTGATAATAAAAATTGAAGAGTTGTGAAATTATATTTTTCTTGTTCGAGATACAGATAGCTGATCGAATTCATCCAGAATTTCTTGTTGTAATTGACTACGGTCAGAATTGACTGGCCTTGTGTTGGTTGACAATGATGTGAACTTGAAATGCATGACCAAGAAGAATGTTAGTGCTTGACGTTAAAATACGTTATTTTGATGATGTGAATCTCATATTTCATTACACTCAATATGGCCATGAAGTCACTTCATGTTAAGTGGTAACAACAATGTTTGAAAATATTTTGTACTTCAAGTAATTCACATATATTCTTAATCTAGACAAATCTTATATTTTATTGACGTGTGCCCTGAGTTGAGTAGTTTTTCAATTGTGAAGTTATCACTGTCAACTTAGACAACATTATTCATACTTTTTAAAAAGTGAGTTATTGGCATTTTTCTATATACTACCTATTAAATTCCTCTGAGTATCTAAAGTGTAGTTGGATGCATTTGTAACTGTATCTCTGAAATTGTTGTCATATCTTCTTATTCACTAGTCAGTGGATTAGGTTCAAGTTTACATCTTTACTAATCACGAATTGACTTAAGTAAATTCCTTTGCGTTCTGCTCTCAATGTTTCCCTATTTAGAATTACCATATTTTTCTAGTTAATTTCAGTATAGTCTTTCTTGTGCATCAACATAAGCGAAGATGTTGGCTAGTTCCCATAATCCTCAGTCCATCGATCAATGAAAAACACAACATATCAGAGGAGTCAATTACAGCAAGTGCGCATGCAATGGCAGCAGAACGATAGGTGACATTCCGAGTAGTAAGAAAAATGGTTATAATACTTTCCGAGAAATTCAAGCGGCTCATTTCTATTATAAGTTTTTGTACTGATGACGTTGTCTAAAGCGATAACAAAAGCTTCACAGTTAGACTATATAGTTTATAGAAGATAACACCATTGAAATCATTCACGCGGGTCACAAATATTAACTGTCATTTCAACAAACAATTTGGGAGTGCAAGAAAAAAGTTTCGACCATATGATTACTTGCAAAAAGAGTTAAAAGTACACTCACCAATGAATCATCTGGAAATGGATGGAATAAATTAGCGGACATCGAAGAAGGAATAAAATTTACAAAATTTCTGAAAGTCAAAAGAGAAGAACAAACACAACAACATACAAAGATAAAAATCAGAAGAGATTTGCATAACCTATGATTTTACTGTCTGATTAAAGTAAACTTAAAAAGAAACGCGATCTGTTATTATGAGATAGTTGAACGCAGATTACCATCCCAATAGTTAACACCACAAAATACAGCCAGATCCTATTTTTATTCTGTCCATCTGTTTGTTGTTAGTCTAAGCTATCGAACTAGCTTGAATAAGATGATCAGTTTGCAAATGATTTACAGACTGCATAGTATAGGTTGGTATTTCTCACAGCTGAGTAGTTTTTTAACTACCGAACTGTGATAACAGAGTTTCCGCTAGAAAACCGTCCATGCAAGATTATAATATGTGATCTCTGACAATTCTCATGAACTGTTGAAATGTACAACTGAACAAAATGAATCGTTAGGACTCACAGTGATTTGTAGATTCTGCCAACCAGGTCAGAGTGATCTAAACACTAGACATCTGTTTCGTTTGTTTGGAGCAATTAAAAACTACTCAGCTGGAAGGAATGTCAAATTGGACCAAGTAATTTATAGATCATTTGCAACTTGATCATCCTTTTAAAGGTATATCGGTTCATTCAAGTCAGCCAGATTTAGTTGGTTTGAACAATGCGGCTCTGTGACCTGAATTTGTCTGGGTACACCGTCTGTGAACTCAGGCTCGAACGAAAGGAAAGATCACCCGGTGTTTAGATTACTCCGATCTATCTCGATAAGTCAGGTTTCTATATATTCATGTTGCTCAGTGGTATATCTTGGTATTAAACTAACTCCTACTGGAATTCATCAGACGACATAAAGCTATGGTTTGTGCGATAGTTTACTTAGTTACAGTAGTGGCACATATTTTAACTACTTTGATCAACTCAAGTGCTGAATCCTATTGATTAAATAATCACATTTACACCATTTTACATTAGGTGGTTACATAGATAGTCGTATACCGAAAGCCACTTTCAAATATCCACGTCTCATGGGGACATACAATAACACAAAGCACCGCTGTAATACATATTTCAATGGTTTTGTGCATCGAAAAATTGCAAACGAACGTCATATACACATTTTATCACTTAGTATCATGAAAATTACCTTCCTATCTAATAGGGAGATGCCACCTGACTGTATTTAATTGCTAAAAACGAAGATGCAGCGAACAAAGTGAAAAGATAGTGTTATTATAACACATAAAATCATATTACAATAACAATATCGTGATGAGAATAAGGGCGTATAGGAAATAAAAAAACAAAGATATCATTTCTTTCAGTTTAGTATTAAAAAGTTTACCTTACTGTTTAGGACAGACAATAAGAAACAGAAACAACTTACTACGATTGGTTATTTCGTTTCCGCACCAAATCTAAATTCATTCAGTTATATGAATTTGGAGGATTCAAGTTGGAAGTAACAACGTGACGACAGAAGACAACTCAATGATATATGTATAAGAGTAACACATTTTGACGTCTTGTGATCAATTTTAATAACAGTATGAAAGCCACTGCAGTTGCATAAAAAAACTTCTTTCAGTTACTGACACTAATGCTACAAGGTGAAGTCGCTTATGCAGTGATAATCTCTACAAAGTAACAATCATACCGCTGACCCTCAGAATGACTGACATAATGTTTAAATTGATTGGAAGTCTTATGCAAATCGTAGTACGTAAAGAAAAATCGCCGAATATACCTGGGGACTAGTTCGTTCAATTATAGAACAAAACTATACACAGCATAGTAGCTACATTGGTATGATTGTGAGCAATAATTTATGCTCGAAATGTAATCAAGTAAATAATACTGTATCACTGTGCGCTATATATCAAATAAACAAATTTAATATGGAATTACATTCTACCACAGTGCCCAAGTTTTACACTTATATTAAAGTAGCTACATGGCCAAATTTCTTTTCAGCACTAAAGGTATCTTAAGCTGACAGGAGATAACATGAATTTCTTCCGAAGTGTTCGATCCTATGTTTGGCGTCAATGAGTAGTAAACGACACAAATAGCTAGTCTACATCAACATGGGATCGGTCCAAGTTGCCACACCTCATGTTAGTACACCAAGCGGGAATATACCAAGATGAAAGATAACGCAGAAATGAGTCAAAGATAGTTGAAGGAAATCAAAAAGAAATTAAACTGATGAAGTCCAGGATGGTGATTTAGATGATGATAATATGTGAATACATCTGCACCACTGTAACTGATGCCAAACCATTTAACCTAGAGTCTCCAACCAGCGATTTATGTTATCATGAGGACACCAACTGGGAAGTCTACACTTCCATACATTGGTCAGGTTAACAGTCGAGAATAGCATAGACTGGTGACATGTTTTGGTCCGGTTACCTCTAACCTTTCTGCAGCTACATTGTGCAATGACGCAGATGGTGATTAGGTATGCGTAACACGTCTCAGTTACCTCAGTCAATGAAGATTCACAACCTTATCAACCGAATTCTTTTTTCTACCCAAAACTCTACTTATGAATCCTACTTCAACGATATAGTTGCATCATGACACACGGCCTGTGCTATGAAGACAAAGTTAGTGGAACATCTGAATACTTCTTATGTTCTCAGCCTTTACTATTTATTCGCAGCACATATATCATTATGCGCTGTATTCTCACTAACCACCGACTTTCTCTAGTTTCCTTGATAAATCTGAATGGCATTTTACTGTCACCTATCGTTATGGCCCCTACAATCTCTGTAGCCTTTGCTACCCACCGCTCCTTACAGTCCTTGCATAGACTTCTCATCGGTCTACAAGTCAGTTAATTCCGCTCTTTATTGAGCTCAGACCCAGCAGGAATATGTTCACGTGTATTTATTTTTTCATATAATGAGACACACTGTAGTTTTTCCAACCTACTTCTCGGAGTCAGTTACGGTCTTTAACGCTGTTTTAACAAAAGACTGGAGATAGTGCGATGCTTTTTCTGAATGTGTGACAATATCTTTTTCTGATAACTGTTCACCCAGTCACTCACTGAAAGTAACCTAAGTATTCTCATCGTCAAGTTGTGTTCGGAATGGCTTTGCTGTTGCAACAGTAACAGTTCAGTAGCCAACATCCAGACCGAACCTGAATGGGATGTGGATGTCGGTCTCTTTGATTTCCCCGAAGTTGATAAGGCTGTTTCAAAAACATAAAACGATGCCAAGCAGCAGGAACTGACGGTATGCAACCAGAAGTTTTCAAGGAAGGAGGTAGGAAATTATTGAGTGGAAGAAAGGAGCGGTGCATGGCAATCAGATACTTTCATCAGATTGGTCAAAATCGTTGATCACACCAGTTTAAAGGGAAGAAGAGAAGTCTTCTTGTGACAACTGTATGGAAAATAATTCAGAGAAAACATCATATCCAGGATCCTAGGGTTCATAGTTATCCGACACCTAACTAAAGATTGAGAACAGACTCGAGAAAAAAATGGCAGGTTTCAAACCTGAATGAGGGTTCGTCAATAAGATTTTTATCCTTTGACAGGTTCTGGAACATAGGCACACTCACCAGCGGCTGACACTCGCCATATGTCTCGACCTGAAGGCGGTATTCGACTTTGTCGACCGAGAGTTGTTACGGGAGTGTCTGACTGTGAAGCAAGCAAACATATAACACTAGTCGAAGTTCTATACTTTAACTCGTGCAGCCGTGTTGGGGTTACTTACAGAGTTTCCACCTGAATTAATGACAATTAATGATGTCCGCTAGGGATGCTCGCTGTCGCCGTCCCTTTTTAGTTTCGTTACAGATGTACTAGTGGATAAATTCTTCCACCCACCATCTCTGGCAACTGTTGACAGCAACAATGCTTATCCATAACCACTCGACGCCACGTCAGACAATGTCTCCTGCTGTGTTGAATTTCTTGCTAGAAATAGATGGTTGTGGCAGGCTACTACTGTTATTAGTTCGTTACGCTGGGACTTCTTTTGGGTTAGAGAGTTTTCAGGAGAAATTATCCTTCACTTTATTCGAATCAGTCAGTAGGTGCGTAAGTAGGGATTTACAGGGAAATGACGGCGAGTTGCACCGTAAATTTTGATTTTCATTGCACCATTCATTGGAACGGCGCACAGGTGACTGTCAATGGTTAATACTGAGGAAATTGGAAGCTCTAATATGTAGTTTGAAGTGTGATTTCAGGAGGACAGAGATGCTGTTCCATGAACCCTAATCATTATTGAGAGCTGCAGAGTTGGAAGAAATTACCGATGAGGTTAGATAGAATATTGACTGAGAGCCGTAAGGGTTAGGAAGTAAATATGTGAATTCTGACAATGATCCGAAGTAACTTGAGTGCTGACGGAGTTGTTAGGGTGGTTGAGACTTCCCGATTGATCATACCAGGGAGGGTTACTTCTTCTTGAAGTACCTAATTATAAACTGGGTTACTAATAGTGGGGCCTAACTAAAGAGACTAAGAGAAAACATTTTGGGGTCAATTACATCTGATCTTTTCGAAGTTTGAGGCTTAGTTTCCATTGATTTGCACCAAGCTAGAAAAGATATACTGGAGGTAGCAGGGGACTGTAGGGTTGGTAGGAGTGTGCTATATTTAGGTTGACCTTCGATAACTCCTTCTCACAGGTTATGAAACATCAACATGATACCGCTGGTCATCAGCTGGAAATACACTACTGCTATAACACTCCCACCTAGACAGCGCCACCACTTCGCAATTAGGTCTCCAATATAGCGTAGCTATTCACATTGTAACGGTAACTGCCTTCAGCCTCACTACTATCCAAAAAACCTTTCTGGCATGGTAGGACGTCAACAAACAGGCGTTGAACTCAGTGTAGGTTGTTGGATCATTGTGGTATGTAACCTCAACGACAACTTCAAGGTAGAAGCAATGAATCGGGATAAAGACCCATTGAATATAAACTGTGGTGCAGAATATTTCTTTTCTGGATGTTCAGGGCAGGAATATAAGAATACTTGCAGTATATTATCTTCCTGTGGAAGATGTGACTGTGTCTCAGAATCGGTCTGCATCAGTAGTTATTTTAACAAAAGAGATAAGAAAGAACGACTTTGTAAGTCATTTCATCTATATAACCATTTGTGTTAGCCCCCAAATTAGATGCAGCCACTGAAATATCATCTGTTAGACCGAAATATATCAGATGCATTGTAATACGTTACAAAAAATCAAATTTGTTGTATGGCTTATTCTTTTATACAAAAGTAAGAAAAATGTTGAAGACAAACAACAAATGACGACATGTATTTGATCAGCTGTATCTTGGATCTGTCATTTCTTTTTCAAGAAATAAGCTACTAGGATAGCATAGAAACTAACTGCTACGATTTCAAACGTGTATTTAACAAACATGATTATAGTGATTTGTGGCTAGCAGAGGAACCCAGGACGCACATTCCCTCCTACTTGGGACTCGTCAGCTGGATGTTTTGTTGTTCCCACTGGGACTCGAACCTCGCGCCCATCGCCTCAAACGTCAAGGCGTTTTCCACTATGCCATGGAGGCACGATAGCCACTTCTTGTACAGCGGCTATTAGTTATTACTTATAAAGTGAACAATCAACGACCATCTAATTCAAAGATATTGAGTAGAGCGTGAGTCCAACCATAATTGCGAATTCGTCCTGAGACCCCAATTACAGCGTAGCTATTCACATTATCACGCCAACATTAACCGAAAAACATTTGTGGTATGGTAGGATCTCAATGCAGCAAATATTTTAACCACTATAGTTCGTTACGTCACCATAACATATAAGCCCAAACAATACGTCAAGGCAACAGCTACAAGTCAGGCTACCCACAAACTGTTTTGCCGAAATAAGTTCTATTGGTGAAGATACACTGGACGGAATAGTGTAACTTCTCAGAACTGTTGATAGCATTTGATATGCGCCGGACCTGTTGAATAATTATGCTCATAAAGTTTCACAATCCCTACGTAAGTTATAGGTTATTACACTATTCAATGTGATTTATGGGAATGAAGCGATATTCATGAAGAGGTTCAACAAATATGACACATTCTCCTATTACATGCAAAATGCTACACAAAGTCAAAAGAAAATTAAGTCAATATTAATACGGTTTCTATAGCCACCATCAGTAAAGCTTAGTTGTTTGTGTCTATTTATTCATAGAACTAAGTTGCAACATTTGCATTTATCGATATTACTTTATTGACGCTGATGACTTTGCAGCCTCTGAAATGTAAGCTTAGTCTGGTTGACACAATGGCATGGTTAAATACCTTAAACGTGACAGTCAATTATCCACCCTAATTAGGAAATGTGGACTACAAACACTACTTATTTCCTGAAACTGTTGGCTGGGTAGGGTGATTAAAATAAGGCGTTCCAAAATTTGATCTGGTGTATCTATGCGAACGTAACTCATCAAATCGTATTGCTTGATGGAATCTAAATCTTATCAAACCAACAGTTTTCATTGATCAACTTATGAATCAAATCATTTCCAAAACGCTAACTGAAATGATTCTTCTCTCAAACTTAACACAACCTATGAATTCAAGTTTTCGGAAACGAACTTGATCCAAAAACAATAATGGATTAATGATAAAAATCAAATATAGCTGCATTAAGAATCCATCCCTCAGAAGTTTAAGCAGACATGACAACAAACACATATTATTTCCCCTGAGTTATTATTTGATTTGATTGAACTATTGGATTTAGTGCAACTCAAATAACAATAAAAAGGGACCTAATCTAGAAAAGTAACCTCAGTTTTAGCGATTGTTTCGTGGTAAAGTTTCCAACCCTTGATTTGAAAGGCTAATAAAAGTGCAGCAACTTAGGAAGGAAGGTGAAGTATCATGACAACCAGTACTAGTACTGTTTAGTAGATCATTCATTGTAGTAGAATTCTGATTCAAATGAAAACAAGTTTTTTCAACTCTCCCATGTGAATAAAAGTTAGTTACTTGTGTTTCAGTGTTCCACTTTAGTTAGAGAATCTCTCTTAGTGAGAAGCTAAAATCTAAGAAGTTAAAATAGGAACGTAATTCAAAGAAAAAGGGGTCACTGAGAAATAAAATGATAAAACTCACGTAGATGGATGATGTTTAGGAGGACTAGAATCAAAAGTAACCCAATCACGATAGAATTCTGATTCTGAAGGCTCAACATAACAACCCATTCTCTTTGATGAAATACGTCGACTAGGTGTATTACCTAGACTGTCAGAAGAACTCTTTCTTATAGATACTTGAGAATTGTCATCTTGACTAGATGTTAGTGTAGCCATTGAAAGGGATGGGTCAATTGAAAAATCAGGTAATTCTGCTAATATACTAGTCAGGAGACTACGATTTTTACGTTCCGATCTACGTAGCTCGTGATCGATTAGTGGAGAAAGAGGTTGCCAAAGTGAATGATTTTGAGATATCGACTTTTCTTCAATATTCTTTTCTCGATAATCAGGTATAATCATATTTTTATTGTCTTCTTTGAAGTCTAGTTGTTTTCTCAGTATCTCACAAATATCCTGTCTTGATGTTTGAGGTGGTACAGAAAGGATATGAGGATCTTTCACGTAGACTTTTGACACAGGAGATTGATTCTAAAAAGTAATGCAAAAATAATACCAAATAAGTAGGTGACTTTTATGGACACATAATCAGTGTGAATCAGTAAAACTGTTTGCAGACAGACAGACAGACCAACGAAGAACCGATAGCAAAAGCGTATGCGTTCAACTTGCTACACTTCACAGTGGCATGGATACTTAGATTGGTAGACACTTGTGCTTCAGAATGAAGATACTGGAATACAGTCTCACTAACAATAACTAGAAAATTTATCAATAAATCAGCAGAAATGCATCTCAAAACGGTATATGTTTGTGTAATAGGCTATGAGTCACATTTAATATTTGACTGCTGTCAAGGTTAAAAAGAACCGGTGGAACAAAGTTCGAACGTAAGACTACTAAGACTACTAATAAGTTGAACGCAGAAATACACTTGAACAACGATAACAATGAAATGAATGTGATAACTGTATCCAATCACTTCACAGACTAACTGATAACAATTGATGTTAAATGAAATTTTCACTACATTGGTCAGGTGAGGTCAAGTAAAGAATGACAGTCGGATTGTGCTTAAGTGTCTCAAAAATACAGTACACGTTTAGGGTTTAGGATTTGAAAGTTCTTCCAAAAGATGCCAACTACTGGACTTCACATAGGGTTCATACGTTGATAATTTCAATGTTGAAGTAGGAGGGTGGATTAAGGTGACTAGGATCGCTAGCAATCATTATAAACCTCATCAAGACAGCAGTACAACGTCACTGTAAGATCCCCAGTGTTACATTCCTATTTATATTGGATCGGTAAATGCATTTTTTTCAACTAACCTTACTAGCACCGTAAAAACACAAAGAAAAAGCGTTCTAGCCAGTGCAACTCGTTGGGTGACATTCATATGATAGCTCAACCATCATGATCATGTGACAACTACTGATTGGGGATTTTACAGACATTTCGGCTACCTACGTTATGGTAGGACCAGATGGAATTCATCCAAGAGCACAAAAATATACACAGATACATCAACGGACATGCTCACACCACTACTGCTGAAGGTTTGCAAGGAAGGAAGGAAAGGTATCTGTCGAGTGGAAGAAGGCCCACCTTGTCAAACTCCCAAACAAGGGTGACCTAAGTCTTTGCAAAATCTGGCGCGCAATCATGCTCCTTCCCTGACAACCTCAAGCAAAATATTAAGCCACGTCTTCCTGGAGACAATTAAAACATCCTCTGCATTCAACATTATCACCGGAACAGTCTCCCTGGATAGCTGGATAGCCTGGCTTCAGCAAAAACAAATCATATGCCGATCAAATTTTAACGCTACGCTACGCATCATCATACAACACAGCATAGAATCACAGTCAACTCAACCTCAACTTCACCAACTCTGAAAATAACTCCAATAGCCTCGACCAACAAGTAATTTGACAGGCAGCTCCTTCAACACTACGGTTTCAGTATCACAAACCTTTATCAACCAACTCACTCAACACCTATATGACGACGCTACATCCCAACTGATTCACAACGGAAACCTCACTGACGCATTTCAAGTGAAGATAGGAGTAAGACAAGGTTCCCACCTACTATCACCGATCATCTTCCTGTTTGTGGTCGACTGGACTAAATCATGCAACAAACTGTGAGGAGTGCGAGAACAGGGCATACACTGTTTGACCAATGAAAAGACCCCAGAAGAAGAAGAAGAAGAAGAAGAAGATCTGGATTTCGCCACCAATGATGATGATGATGATGATTTATGTCTAATATCTTGTCACACAAGCTCGAAGACCTACAGGCGAAAACCAACAAGTTGACAGAAGAGGCAGGGCAACCAAGACCTGACTTCCTTCAGGTGAACGTACAAAAGACAGAGGTAGAGGTGATGAAGATACCCAATCATCATCATCATCAACAACAACAACAAGCACCAATCATCATCAACAGGAGAAATCTAAAGGAACTTGTCTCTTCCACCTACCTACCTACCTACCTAGGTAGCATCGTTTCAACTACAGGCAGCACAGGCACACCTGAGGACGTCAAAGCCACGATCGGAAAGACACCAATACAGGCATTCCTGCATTAATCTGAAATCAATGTGGAGATCTACTCCACTGCACTCAGCACAAAGCAAGAATAACATCCGCATTCTCAACACTTATATCAGTCAAGTCAGTGCTTCTATGTGATGGTTCAGAGACTCGGAGCATCACGAAAAGCATTTCCAACAAACTGCACACATACATCATCAACAGCTGCCACCTACACTCACTCCATACTGATACTGAAGATCAGATAGATGGCCAGAATAAGAAGAATAAGCAACAAGGAACTCAGTCTGGCCTGGCAATGAACCAACGAGGAACGTATCACACAACAAATATGCACAAGAACAAAGTGAAGATGGATTGGATCGGGCATACACTGAGAAGACCATTTGGGGACATCATCAGCCAGGTCAGGCCAGGCTCTCGAGTGGAATGCAAAGGGGAATCGACGAGTTAGGTGTCCGAGGGTGACATGGAGGAAATCATGTGAGGAAGAAATGAAAGCTTGTCGGCAGTCGTAGAGCGAGTTTCAAAAGACTGCAGGGAACAGAGTAAAATAGAGGCGTGCTACTGAAGCCCTATGTTCCACTAGGAACCTAAGGGAAAAAAATAATTATGTTATGATTACTTCCTATGTGTCCGAACAGTGTAAGCATATATTTCTCATTAGTTTCCATGAATTAAATCATATAAGCAGATAAAAATAGGGTTTGAAAGAATTATTATTTACAAAATTGATCATAACTTACGAAATCTTGTTTATTCATAGATGCACCGTTCAGTTTAAAGGTTTGATAAAGATTGTTAGGACGATTGAATAACTAAAAGTAAGAAAACGGACAAACTAAAGATAGGAGAAACAAGTCATTAAAAAGATGAATAAAACTCTTGGTCATATAGCAATATCCAGTCAAACGAGATATAAGAACATTTTTTCGAAAAAAATTCAGTCTTGGAAGAACAAAAATTTATATGCGTAGTATTTATCGATGAACAGTGTCACTGGACGAAACAAGTCCAGTTAAAACTAATAATTAAATGAATGGCTTGTCGTTCTTGACTGAATGGTCTATATCCACTGCTGAATAACTCAAGCCAACATGTTTTTCGTTTCCAGTAAACATGAAACCTTTAATCCTTGGACCAATAAACAGCCGATATTAGTATATCGTAATATATAATGGCCCATTTTCAGCCACTCATTTCTGAAATCTATTGTACACGCAATAAACGTACATTAGCTACACAGGTAACAATCAGTGATTATGTTCCCATGCGGGAAAATTCTTTGCATTACATGTTACAAGATATATATATACCAACTCAAATGGGTGCGCTTGAACTGCATACCTTAGGAATTTATTCGATGAGTACGATTTGCACCTTTGAGCATGGCAGTCTTCTTTATGTGTATGTCTGACTACAAGGTTTATTGACGCACTTGCCACATTCTCTACGCATTTCTGATGAGTCAGATGGACTATGACAATACAGAAAGTTAGTTCTACTCAGAATCGTATACCCTAACCAAAATAAATAATCTAATGAAAAACACAGTTATTGCTAAGCACGTATTGGCATGTAATGACACAAAAGATAGTGAGGCAAAGTAGCCAATATCATATCTTTGTTTATCGAAGACATCATAACATACAGAACAAGAACGGATCATTACTTATTTTTGACACCTAGAAATTACTGCTATCATTGAAACCATTTTTAATGAATGGGGATCTTGAACATTAATTCCAAATTCAGGTAAAATCCAAAGTAGTTTACGGTTTAAGAAAATCGCGCATACAGTGGAAGTCAGTTGTACCGATAAAATTACGATCAACTAACTAGCTACTTATACGTACCTAAGGCAGCAGAGATATAAAATTAGCACTACAATGACTGTTGGGTTACTTCAACTAAAAATCTCAGTCCGTCAACGCATTATTCAGTAGAAAAGTAATTTTCCTCTAACGAAACTGCGAAGCTACAGAAATATTTAGAAGACGAAGTCCAGTTTGCAGTTTGAATCTCATGGAGAAGAGACAAATGTCAAGCTTTTATAGATACATACCACTGCAGTTGTAGGAGAAATCCAGTCGTTTCTTTCGTTACATGCAGCCAACACATTTGAAACCCTAATGTTCTTAAAGAGAAAGCTCTTCTAAGAATAATCTTGATAAGAAATCGATATTCAACTAGATAACAGAATCTCTGTTTGATATAGGAAAATTGTCAATTAGATGAGAAAAGGTATCAGTTTGTCTAAACTAGCCCGTTTCCCGGTATTGTATGTCAAAATTATAACTGAGGAGAATTGATACCTATCCCTGTAGTGTGTTGACGGAATGTGTGAGAATTCCTGATTCGCTTCTAAAGACGGAGATGTGACTTGAAGTCAAACAACAACGTAAACTTACATCCATACTAAAGCTTGTGAAACCTCCATACCGCGAAAAATATGATCTAAGCATAATTTTCTACCTATTCGAAATGCTTCTCTGCTACAGTGAGGCGTGCATAATCGCTCCCATCAGGGAATACATGAAGAAGCACAACGTCAACTCCATATGCTGACGCATCCGCTGCTGTTATCATCGGGAATTTCAGTTAGTGCTTCGATAGTAAGTTTGAACTGATTCGAGCTTACTATTCAGATTACTAAAGACAGACAATCGGTGAAACATTTCCAAGGAACATACCAAGCAGTCGATTAAGTGGTGATTACACGTATTATCCCACATGTGCCTGAAATCAGTTTTCCCATTTAAAAAAAATTATGGCATGTTGTGGACAGAGAATTCAGTTACAAATAAAGATGACTGAAACTTGGATAATACAAGAGGGAAAGCATCAGAATTCGTGTTCTATTGTACAAGACTGGAAGGTAAAATCCTGTGGTTCATCATGTACATGAACTATGCATACGAGACGTGGCAAGCATATGCAAGACTAATACCTTCTAAAGTCAGTTGTTAGTGGGAAATCAGAAAAATAGTGTGGTTGAGAAAATTACTACGAGGTAGAAACCTAAGAAATCAGTGACAAGGACTTTGTTTCACTAAACGTGATCCAAGTCATATCAGATGCTCACTATACTAGTTACTAACTACACAAGGATGATAGTAAATAAACAAGAAGACAACTGTACGATAGATAAAAGGAAGAGTCAATTTATGTAGATAAGTCAGAGAAAAGAAAGAGATTGTACCAATGTATTCTGAAAATACAGGCTTGGTTTGCTCAACCATACCATGTTACCCCAAGTGGGCATACAGCGTCTTTCAATCAGTCAGAAAACAGCTAAATATACACAGCGTATTGAATTCTTTCGACGTTGTCGACCCAATTAGTAGTATCAATGTAACCTATAAGCGAATGATTTCTCTCTTGACCAATGTTCCTCTCACAAAAAAAACTATCTGTTTTCTATGTGATTGCACTAAAGAAAATAATTTTCATCTGAGTATCCCAAAGTATTATTTAAAAGAATTACTTCTAAGATGTACTTTCAATGTGCAGTTCAAAACCAACAACGAGCTATTCGCTAAGGAGTCACCACTTGGACCGCTGCTGGCTGATTGCTTTATGGCAAACCTAGAGAAAAGTGTGCTCCACTCAACAATTGATAGTTTTTACTTATATAAAAGATATATGGACGATAGGTTTATCATATGTGATCAAAATACAGATACTGGGACTATAGTTAAAAGTTTAGTGATTATCACCCATTGGTCAACTTCACATCAGAATTTGAAGAGATCACAGAATTTTATTTTCTCTATGTCTTATTAAAAAGGAGTTCAGGTGGCTCTCTTCAGAGATCGATTTATAGGAAGCTATCATGGAAAGGACAATACTTGAATTTCCATAAATGGATGCCTCTCAACAGAAAAAAGAATCTGATAAATTATTTGTCATCAAGAATCCGAGGAATCTGTACGAGTGATACCATCGATGATGAATTGGACAAATTACGTAAAATTGTCATGAAAAATGGATACTCATCCAGATTTATTGGGAAAAAATTCAATATTAAACAAAGTATGGGGTAAGTACTCACAACTCCAAAGAAGACTTTGTTGGTTTCCAAGGTGATACGGCAGATCCTGAAGAATCGGCTGTCTATGAAGCTACATATCAGCTTCTTCAGTGAGCGACTGGTTCCGGGGTGCGTTAAAGATAAGTTGCCACTTTGAGCTACCTTAACGTGTGTCTACATATTTACTTGCTCCTGTGGAGCTAGTTATATGGTTCGCACAAAGTGCCCACTTTCAAAACGTATTTCTGAGCACTATTCTGCATGTAAATCAACTAACAGTTCCATTCTTGAGCATTTGATCAACTCTGGGCATATAGTTTCAGCAGAGTCCTCCTTCAGTGTCGTTTACAGAGTCAAAGGAAATTGATCAAAAGAAGTACGCTTTCGACAGTTGTGTAAAGCAGAAGCGCTGGCAATTCACCAATTCAAGGCTGATCTCTGCGTTCAGAAGAAGTTTGTTCATTCTTTCATCTTACCATGGTCTTAACACACAATTTTTTTCGATTTAATTATAATTAATCACTCTACTATTTCCACCATTATGATCCTAGTTTTTTTCTTTACTTTCTCTTTATATCTATCAAGTGGACCCTTAATCTTCGCATTTCATACTAACTAAGAATTTTTATTCTGTCAAACTTTCCCAATATTTCCGTCGTATAAAAGATTGTTACGCAACTAATTTCCATTCTATGTTTCAGTTTATAGCGCTAGCTTAATGATGCGATTATACCCTATTGTTTAATAATGCACTGTCATACGTTTGTGCAGTCTTAGAAAATGATATCGTCGGAAATGAAAATTTTCTTCGCTAAATTATCTCTTCCTTTCTTTATGAAAGTCAAGCGTTTGTATTCGATGAAAATGTGCAAGGATCCTGGTTGAAAATTCCGCTTCCCTGTCCCATATCATCTAATATATCATGTATGCACTGATGATATTGATAATCTACAAACTAGTGATCAAACTCTTCTCACCGTTTACTGATCAAACAGATAACAATAATGTTAACCTGTGAACTGTGCTAAATTTCAGAAAAAAAGAAATATATCCAGTAAAATCCCTGAAAAAGGTATAAGGATAACGAGAACAAGTATAATCAGGCCGGTTGAATTTTTCAATGCTAGACAAGATATTTTACAAATTGGAAACAATGTACACCACTTATGATAATTAGGTCGGTTGTGGCTAGCAGAAGAATCCAGGACGCGCGTCTTATCCAATTTCGGACTCGTCAGCTGGATGTACCTGCACCCCAGTGATGTTGTTCCCACTCAAACTCGAACCTTGTACTGATCGCTTCAAACGCCAAGGTGTTATCCACTATACCATAGAGGAACGATAGCCACTTCTTGTATAACGGGTGATAGTTATTACTATTTATTGACATACTTGTTTTGCTGAATCGAATTGTGCGACAAGTATGTCAATAAATAGTAATGTGCATCACTGTCACAAATTGATTGTATTCAGAAGTTGTTCAGTTCAACTAAACTCAGATATGATTGTATACTTCAGGAATCTTATAACAATGAATCACTTACCGTTTGTAAAAAGATTTGATTTGTTAACGTTTAACACTTGAAATAGGGTTTATTACTTATATGAAATAAAATACTCACAATTGTAACATACAAGACATTTTCAAAGATTCAATCACATCAAGAAATAAATTTTTAAAAAAACTTGTTTAAACAAACTGACACACTTTACAATTTTACAAGAAAGGAAAGAAATTTTGAAATTGATAACGATGCATGCAGCAATACTTTCACAATGAATTTTTCTCATAACTTAAAAATTATTTGGTAAACATTTCACACTCAAACTAGAAGCCATATTCATTAACAACACTTAAGTAATATTGAATATATCGCTCGTGATGCTGATAGTATAGAATCAATCATAAACTTGAAAGGAGAAAATAACTTAATTCTGAATATATGTATAAAGTGAGATATAATTGATATTATTCATTAACATGCAGTTGTTTATTTCGATGGGGAAAGATTTTCATATACAGTTAAATAGATTTGAAGCTAGTGACAACGGATACATAAAGGATAAAAAAACTTACTTCAGTAAACTATAAAGAAATTTAAACAACATAATATACACAATAGATTATTATTATTATTATCATTATTTATTTTTATTAGTCCCTTGGGTTCCTAGTGGAACATAGGGCTTCAGTTGCACGCCTCCAGTGACCTCTGTTCTCTGAGATCTTTTGGACCTGGTCCCACGACAGCCCAGAAGCTCTCATTTCCACACAATAGATTAACACTACTGTTATTATTAACAGTTAGTTAGATGGGGTTTATCACTAGGGTTAAGAATAGTTCTTATGAGCAAAACTGATTATATAAGCAAGTTGAATGTTTTGTTTACTGATAACCGTAACTATCAAAAGTTCATAATTGGTATTGGCATGATGGAGGAGAGAAAGAGAAGGACAGTAAGACTTGATTTCAGGTGTGCAAGAATCGCTCAGACCTAAAGGAACTTTTACACCTATACCGTTTCTGACCAGTTCTTAATAAGTCCGATTCGTTTTATAATGTAACAGCCGAATGGCTAATGGAACTTCTGAAATCGCTTCACAAATAAATAATGAAACACAGTTTAAATAATTCTCTTCAGTTTATTCAAAAGATTGGAGCTTTTAGAGTGAATAATGAAACCATGATATACTGCGATGCTTCATTTCTATTTTCTGCTATTCCTTCTTTAAAGAAGTTGACTTGGTATATCCAGTGAACAGACCAAACTCAACATAAAAGTAAGAATTTCTTTATCCCTTCTAAAAGAGCTTCTTCTGAGACCCATGATCAATGAAAGCACGCTTCAACGAGTTCTACAGACGATGTGGTAATTGGATCACCAATAGGTATAATCACAGATGATTTTCTCTCGGTTGAACTCGAAAACGGTCCCCCGAAAGAAACAAGCAGCTGGTTGGGATTTTATCGCCGTTACATATCTGACACATCTGCAGTTCCCAAAGACGAGGTCGGTAGAAACATTGGTGATAAATTCAAAAGTGTTCATCCGGATATCATCTTTACGCAAACTCTTAATAAAAGCTATGTGGCTGGCCTGTAGCAGACATCACAAGGTTTCTGTAGTCGTCACTATCACGAATGAGTGTCCTCCTTCAAACACCTTATAGAAGCAACTGCTACAGCGTAAGAAGCCTAGGAATATCAAACAAACGAACGATTCCAGTAGTATATAAAACTCAACAAACTATGTTGTACCTAACTACTTCAACACTGACCCATTTCTGCTTTCAATTCCTGATACCAACATTAGGCCTTTTACAACTTTCTTGACTTGATGTTTGCTAATGAAAACATCTAGCAAAACACCATCCCTAGTTACCTAAAGCCACCCTTCCACTTCAACATTGAAATTATCAACGTACGAAACCTATGTGAAGTTCAATAGTTGGCATCTCTTAGAAGAACCCTCGAGTCTTCAATCACAAATGTATACTGTATTTTTGAGACACTTATGCACGACCCGACTGTCATTATTAACTTGACCTCACCTGACCAATGTAGTGAATCTTCGAATTTCACTTCATTAGTGTTCGGAGATTCAATGACTGGGTGTCATGCACGCACTGGTATGAGTATCGCAAAAAAGTCTAGTGGGGAAAGCCCACTTCATGAGTGGATACCAGTCGATAGCCATATGTGTGCTGTCCGACTGAGTAGATGTTTAAGAACTGGAAATGGCTGTGACACTCATCATTGTCTGTTAATAATCTCAGCCTACGCACCCACCCACCAACTGTATTTCAGGTGACACAATGGATGGATTCTGCCAAATGCTGTCAATCTTGTCATATAAAGCAACAAAGCGTTCAGATATAGTCATGGTAGTAGGTGACTTCAGTGATCAATTAGGGAAGCCAAGCCGATCAAAAAGGAACCTGAGAGGTATCTTCGGTATCCCAATGAGTCGACAACAATATATATATATTTGTTATCACAACCGCTTGTTCGTGGTCAGTAATAGTTTCAAGGATATGGATAGAAAATGTCTCACTTGGTATCCACCGAAATCAAAGCAACGAGGTATATGGATGGATCATATTGCTACAAAACATTGTTGGACAGTATCAGTAGATGATTGCGGCTCTTTCTGGAATACCTTCTCGGACTCCGATCACGCATTAGTAAGGGTACGTGTATGTGTGGCTCATATACTTGTCGTAGAAAACAGGCGACAATGAAGCATGTAGGCACTGGATTGCAAAATGAGACCAAGTGCGTACTCAGGAAAATAAATAAGCATTTATCTTAATGTGACAGCAATCCCTATCCTGCTGTAGAAATAGCAGTACAAACAGTTGGTAGCTTGCAACACAGTCCAACTAGCCCTTAGTAACGCTTCAAGTACCCAATATTCAGTTTAAATATAAATGGAAGGTAGGTGTTAGTTCCCCAATTATCTTTCAAGTTAAGGAAGCTGTATCGAACCTGAAACGATGGGAAACACAGCCACCCTATGTTTTTAAGGAGGAAGTTAGGAAACAAAGGTGCTACCACGTTTTGGAGAAATCACAGGTAATTCTCCCAGACTGTTTAGGTCATTGACCACTCCAGTTTATAAGGAAGAGAATTCTTTTTGTGACAAGCACAGGGGAACCACTTCAAATGAAATCATGTCCAAGATCCTAGGGCCCATAGTTATTCGAAGAATGACTGCAGCACGACAGTAACAAATGCGTAACAAGCAGGTAGATTGCTCTGTCTATGAGATATGGCACTTGAAAGTGTATGCGTTAGGAGACTACAGATTTTCAACTACAATTATCTTATATGTGGTGGAATCACTAGGTGGGAAATGTCGAGCTTAGGCGGAAAATATTAGATAGACAAGTTATGTGATAACTTTGTGAGCATGTAGCGACTGAGGTGGCTCGGAGATATGTTACACATGCTGAGGTACCGCCTACCTCGACATGCGATATTACCGATAATACAAGTAGGTTGAAAGAAAGTCAACGGTGATCAGGAGAAGACATGACTCTAGTTCATCAAGTGTTCTACTGTTATTTTTAGCGGTGTGGGGAGGTGCAGAATGCCTGGATGCAGTCTAAGCCAGTATCAGTTTTCCTATTCACTTCTTTCATTTCATGTAGTGGTGAAGTGTGGCAGCTTAAACCAATGCACTTGTCTTCCACCTTGTACGTTGATTTATCCGCAAAGAGATGGAATAAACACAGAAAGCCAAAGTCGACTGATCAGTATTTTCACTTCTTCAGCCTTGTACACCTCAAATATGAACGAAACTTGCTGAAATGCTTAGATCATCACTCAAACTTCATTGACTTGTATGAAATCAAAGAAAAGGAGCTTGGTGCTATGCTGAACTTACTTAGTGGGAATGGATATTCAACCAAATTTGGAAACGAGCATATGAATATGGCTTCATATTATGAAGAAATTTTTAGGTTGGAATTCATCATGAAGTGACATCATTTGGAGACTGGACAGACATTTCGTCCTAGTATGGTACTCTTCAGCACTGAGTACCCATGACCCCCCAGGAATAGAACCCAGGGACTTCAGGTTCCATGCCCAGCACATTACCACTGAGCCACTGGGTCGGAATCCACTGGTCTATATTTCCTACTTCTGTCGGTCCAAGATATAGCGCAACCTACATCCAATATCGTCACTGAGTAACTGTCCTCATGTTCGACTTGGTTAACCAAGTCTTCGTCTCTCTCTGTCTTTCCGTGTCGGGGTTATTGTTGTTGTTGTTGTGTTGGTGGTTGACATTCAGATTAGCATTTAGAGTGGATTCATTGCACGTTAAGTTCCTATCTCACGTAGACTGTGCTAGGTCACATTTGCCGATCGTAGCATCATGTTAAATGGTGTGCAGTTAGTGAAATAACGACACGCTTAATTTCACTTGACATTTCTATCAATCCTCTGTAGTCACTATAATCATCAACCTTTATTTCTTTAATCCTTAGCTTTATGAGTAACTCCGAATTCGCAACTCATCGTAACCTACCACCAGAAACATATGAAGATGATAATTTTTTATTGATTGTAAAATCTATATAGTATTGCAGAAAAGACATTGGGGTTATCGTTTGATACTTGTAATTTTTCGGTCACTAAATGGTGTCTACTTACTAAACCTGTGTTGGTAGATGGCCCCCTATCCAGAGGCCTCGGTATTACCAGATTTTCATGATGTTGCATTCACGTTGGAGACTAGCAGTGGAATCCAGGATGCGCGTTTCATTCTATTTGAGTGCAGGTAGATTCAGCTGACGAGTCCAAAACAGGACGAAGCGCACATCCTGGATTCCAGTGATAGTCATCAATATGAATGCTATGATTATGATAAAATATACTCTGATAATGATGAAATGAGATTCAGCGCTCAATTTCTTCCAGGACATTCGTAATAACTATGGTTAGGATGCTCATAGAATTGTTGTAGAACATATGATGAGGAACTAATTGAAAATAGAGATTTTTTTCTCACTTAAGCTGTCATTTATTGTAAATGATACGTCTGAAAAAATGCTGTGACTCTTGACTGATCTGACTTTACGCATACAACAAGCTTAGAAAGGAATAACATTACTACTACGATTATTACATGATTCTACCAAACACCCCAGAATTCATCAATATTAATATGTGGTTTAGAATTTAATAATTTGCTGGTAGGACATAAAAATGGAAAGCTATTGATCAAATAGTATTTACATAATAATGTGGTTGAACAGACAGAAAAAATATACAAAACAAATACATACCGTTTTCTTGGATTTATTTTCCTAAGTAAATTATTGACAGGAGGATATTTTTAAAAAGACTTTCAGGAATTTAATGCTCTTTTTGCAAGGAATCGACTGAAGTAATTATAAGAAGAATAGTGGTGACTGGTCACTGGAGGATAGTCAACTTCATGTTGTCAGGTGAGGACAAAATTGTATCAATCATTTTGTAATGTGATCACCCAGCTAAGAAGCTTAGTACTATGGTTCCCTCTAATTGATCTTCGATGGTTAGAGTCGTAATGAAAGTATTCAAGTACTCTTTCGACTGTGAAGTACATGAGATTTCAGATAAATGGACATTATCGACAGATATTCGAAAATGAACTAAAATTCGGCACCACGATCGTGCATTTAGAACTTAAGTATATTAAAACAAGAACGTTAAAAATCAGCAAGTTGATAGGTGTGCAACTTTCGGTGTGAATAATAGGCGAGAAAAGCATTTCACAAACCATAATACAGTAATATCAAGTAAGTCAGAAAAAAACATTGATTTAACATCATTACTAAATTTTATAGACAATCTAGTTTAGGGAAACGACCCTTTCATTCTGAGGTAGTATTCATTAAGGAGTGACATCAGTTGAGGAACCATTGAAACCTTGGGAGCACTTGACAGCTTTTTCGTTCTAGCATAGGACTCCTCAGCAACACGCACCTACAACCCAGCTAGAGATCGAACTCAGAACCTTCAGGTTTCACGGAGAACGCGTTAACTATTCAGCCACTGGGTCGGAGTTCAATGATTCGCAGTTTCCAACTTCTGTCAATTTGCGATGAAGTGCGACTACCAACTCAAGGTCTTGAGAAGACATTTGCTTTCCTTCTGACTGGTTGACTCCACAGGTCACGGCTTCTCAGTAGAACTTCGTGATATATATCTGGAAGCATGCCACTAATAGTAAATACTACCCTAAAATAAAAATTCCTATTCAATTTAAAAGCACATTACTGAATAGTACTCATTAGTGACACGCTTCCAGATGGATACAAAGAAATCCTAATGAGAAGTCATGACCTATTAGGCCAACCAGCCGGAAAGGAAGCGGATGTCATAAGAAGATGTTGGGTGATAGTCGCGCTATAAAGCGAATTGACATAAGTTGAAAACTGCGAACCACTGAACTCCTACCCAGTGGCTGAATGGTTAGCGCGTTCGCCGTGAAGCCTGAAGGTCCTGGGCTCGACCCCCGGCCGGGTCATAGGTGCATGCTGATGAGGGGTCCTACACTGGGACAAAACAGTCATCCAGTGCTTTCAGGTTTTCAATGGTTCCACAATGAGTACTACCCCAAAATTAAAATCCCCATTCGACCCTTTAATTGACAACTAATAACAATAGCAACAAAGAAATAAGAAGCTAGATAAGGAAAACAATCCTCGATATAATGGAATGTATTTCTTATACATACTTCCAATATAATGACTAGATTTAAGAGCAGAGGACAACAAAGTTATTGAGACTACCGTTTTCTGCAACAGTAGATGAAGCTGTGTACTGCATAGGCAAGAAACACATCTTATCATGACCAAACTAAAATAATCAGTCCACTTTTGCAGACAAAATCCTTGTAATTATCAGCAGGAGTACAACTGAAAATATTTATAATCTCATAAATAGTTTTCTCTTAAGAAAGAATTTCTAAGTGCAGAAAAAAGCAACAACCAACTGACTTGAACATCCTACTTAATAGAATTGATAGTGGAGATCAGAGTACTACACTCTTTAAAGAGACTACTCATTCAAACTAAATACCATACTAAAATAGCAACGGTTTACGTGAGCGTACTTAAAGCTGAGTGAAAAAATTACTTAAAAGACTACAAGTACACTACAGCATGAAAGATTTACAGAAGGCTGGTAAAAAAAGATATACTTATTCAAAATATTTCAACTCAAAAGATACCCAGAAAACTTTACTAAAAATGTCTCAAAAACAACCATCAAAACACATTTGCTCAATAGGTAAAGTAGGAATTAAGCCTGCTTACATAACGGATATATGACGAGACATATAGTGACAATTATAACCCAGAGTGGTACAAATTATTTTCGTATACATAAACGGGGTTTGAATTTACGCATAGCAAGAGCCTCAATAAATTTAAGCATTCGAAACTGACTACTATTATGTAATACTTTGAAAGCTGCTTTCATGTCTACCCTGAGACCAGTTTCTGATATATGTTTAGCAATACATGAGGATGGATGTTTGTCACCTGCACTTATCGGCTCTGTTGACGTCATTAGACTTTAAAGACACTAAAGTACACGTCCAACCATCCTTAACGACATACCATGATTACTTCACCCTATATATATGTATCCACACATACATGTAAATTGATAAACACAGTGGCATGTGATGCAACCGTTTATGTGTTGTAACATGAACTTAATCTTCTCTACAATAATGACCTTAGCTGCGCAATATGTTTTACCGATGACTGATCTAAGCCTATTTCCTCATAATGAAGCTATGTGAATTACCTCAATATGGTGGTGAAACGTAGACATTTCTCTTAGGAACAGAACACTGTATACTTTTCAATACCACATAACTTTCGCACCTGTTGGTAAATTTCGGCGGGTAGCCATTCTGCATCAGTGTTGTCGTCAGTAACTTGGTTTCTTCCTCTTTCGTGTCATCGGTGCAGATGCGGTTTATCTTGTTGAATAAACACCGCGTCGATATTGGACTGTCCACGTAGGCTTCCTATAGATCGACCCATCCTCCCATCGACTAAGCACTATGTCCAAGAATGGTAGCTGCTTGTTCGTCTCTCGTTTACAAGTAAGGCCAATGTGATTTTGAGCCGTGCTCATTCGCCCTAGCAGGTACATCGCATTGTCAGGCTTTTCACACATAGTGACTATATCACTCATAGATCTCTTATAAAATAAACTTTTCCGATGAGATTGTCAACCATGTTTTCAGTACATCACATGAATACATCGGCTACCAACCTTCCCAATGGACTATTCTTAGCGACGCTACTAATCTGTGGAAAGTATTCACCCTCGAATGTGAATTGAACTTGGTTACTGCATAATAATAAGAATTTCTTTTAAAAAAAATTAAGAGGTATAGGGAATATAAGACTGTTAGAAGAAATGTAGTCACACAAAATACCAATTATTTTCATCAGCTGTACATTAGTAAATAAAGAATTTACATCGAGGGAGTACATATTCTTATCCTTGATATTAGTATCACTTAAACAGTCAATAAGGTCAAATGTGTCTTTGAATGAAGACTAACATGAATGGCTTCTGACAGGACTCAAGAGCTTACCAACCATTTAGCTAGATTATGTGTGGGTGATCGACACATGGACAGCATTGGACGTAGTTTTATGAGTTTTAGGTAGCCCAAGTAGATATGGATCTTCAGATCTCATAGGTTTTAGACAATTATCTTCATCTGTATTCGTTAAATTCATGAGGAGCATTTTCACCGGTTTGGAGTTAACCTCGTTTATGATGGCTGAATATTTATCATGATAATTTCACTGACTATCGTCTCTCAGTGGCTTTAGGTGTTTGAAGCGATGGTTTCGAGGTACGAGTCGCAGTGAAAAGAACGTCAATCACTGGGGTGCAGGTACATCCAACTCAAAAGTCTTAAATATGTTGAAACGCAAGTCCTGGATTCCTTTACTGAATTCATTCTAAGTAATTTTCACGATCATATCATTGAGTTTGAGGAGTGCTTTCGCGGAATGTATAGTAGCAAAACGTTCATGTCAAAGTTAATGAAAGTCATCAGAGTATCCAAATCAATATATATATATATATATATATATATATATATATATATATATATATATAAATGAATAAGGTTTGTACTGGATTTGAATATGATCAATAACCCACCACGCTATTATATCACGGTAACACTTGAATTAAATAAGTCATCATGCGCTAACTTTATTTTGTTCTGACTAAATGATATACTGTAACTGATAACATCACTTTAGATATCACACAAATATTTATAACACTGTAACCAAAAGAAAATAGAACTAATTAGAATAAGAATAGGAGTACACTAAGAACAACTGGGGTATACAATAATGTGACTACAGTTTAAAGAAAGACGAAGATAAAATGGGCTAACAAAAAACTTTAAACGATTTTAAACGATTCAACTTGAAGAAACCAGTTACTACTTTGTAAAATAACATGAAACTCAATTGATAGGCATACCTATATACACAAACACAGCTGACATATGAACGAGTTACGAAAAAAGTTATTTTCATCAATATATATTCAATCCAATTTTAAATGAACATCACAACTGTGAAAATTTCTATTGAGTATCATTAGCTCAGATGATAACTTTGTGTACACTTTTAGGCAAATAAACTAATTTTCTAAAGTGATATACTTATTTGGTGCTATAAAAGAGAGAGAGATCACCAAATTCTGAAAGCCAGAATAAGGTATTCGATAAAACAAGTAATAGATAACTTAATAAAAAGCCAAGCTATAGGATATTTCTTTTTCAAGATAAAGCAAATTACCCAGCACTAAACAAAATTGATCCAGTTTGCAACTCACCTTTTGTGAAAGTTTCTCAGATTTACCGCTGAGCTAAAGAATGAATAGAAGAAAAATATATAAAGTAGGAGCGTCATACGAATACATCGAAATGTAACCAATATAAAAAAAGTGTCGATATAACTTGTAAAGAAACTGTATATCCATGACAAGAAGAGAGTTTTTTTTTCCAAACTATTTACTCAACACAAGTAATAACAAATGCATTACACAAAATGTGATAATAAAAAAAATTAATGAGGATGCTCAAACAATGTTAATGCTTGAAAGAAACATGCAACGGTGACAATGTTTTCGACACGTAGTCGAGAACGCTTTCACTTTGAGCGCTTCTGACTTAAGTTTCAGAATACACATTACCACATGACCTTGGTGTATCATCATCATTCTAAGAATTGAGATGCATTAAAAGCCACTTCCATATTATTGTCTTATTCCACAGCACCATTATATATTAACCACAGCTGCCATTTTCACAAAATCTTAGCGTCAGAAAATCGTGTGATTTAATGTAAATGGCATGGATGACATCCATGAAACACACCTAGACGACTACAGCTAATCCAGCATGATGACTTGAATTAATGTATAATATTCCCTATAAAATCATAATATATACCGCCATGTCAATACATTACTCAATCCACCGATTGCGAGCAATCAAAGGGAAACAGAGGTAATCGAAGACTGACGGTGGCTAAGTTTCACAAAAGTGAACCAGAATTGTATGCAACAAAGTAATACACCTGCCCAACGTTTTACAAACAGAAGAACAATAAGATGACGTAGAATGGAAATCAAACCTCGCCTGGTTAACTAGTTCACTAGTTACTAGCCGGTCCTAAGCCCGGATAAAGAAGGGAGGTTGGGCGTAGGGCTACCAACCCTACCCCGCAAAACTAATCAAATCACTAAAGAAACTTCTAAGCACAAAGAATGGAAATCAAGTTGATATATAATATTTTAGTTTCTACTCTGTAAAGAGATATCTTGCCAAACAAACATTAACAATCACACAAGTAACTAGGTAAAAACACTTGTCTGGTATTTCCATTGTAACACATCTGACGAAAACTGTAACTACAACATTGGGCATACCGTTGCTACGTAGCAGTTGAATTTGCCAAGCCTATTATCAAAAGTAGCAGGAAGTCGTAAGAAGGAAAGGAGAAATAAAACGATGAAACTGGATAGGAGAATTGAAATGGAGGTGACGTTTGGATACATCTACACCACTGACATCTATTCTGAACCAAATCACTTGCAGTCTTCAATCACAGGTTTTTCTCGCCACGCGAACAAAATCCGAAAAGTCTACATTTACATACAAGGACCACAACAGTTGTCGAGGACTTTATGGACTGATAGTATGCTTTAGTTTGACTAACCTTTTTCCAGCCTAAACCTAATTCAGCTAAGATTGTTTGACGAGGCAGACAGTGACTAGACATGCGTAACATATCCTAAACACATCAGCCAATGAAGGTTCACAATGTCGTCAACTAACTTTCTTCTTCTTTCGAAAACTCTACGCCTGACTTCTAAGTTATTGACGTGGTGACACCACGATACCGTCACTGCTACAAAGGCAACGGTGGTCAAACGCTTGAAGCCTTCTCTTATCCTCCACTTTTAACAGCCATGTTTCGCAACCGTACAGTAGAAGAGAGCATACTACAGCGTAGTACACTCGCCACTCACTAGAATATCGAAAATCATGGCGGCTGCATAAGTAGTGTTAGTCGGATAAAACCTAGTGAACCTTTTGTATCAGTGCAAGGAGTTCGTGGATCAACAAGACTTCTTTGACCTCCAAATCATAAGGAGTGGTCAATGCACTCATTGACTGTTGTTAAATGGGGAGTCGGCGAAGACTCTTGCTGGCGCAACAACCTGCATTTCGATGGTGACAAACGCATTCCAAATATTCTCGAATTCAATTTGGAGGTTTGTGAGGGTTTATTTATTGATTTCAGGTTGGTACAGATCATAGGCTGGCATCAGTTGGAGGAACGTTGGAAACCTGGGAGCACTGGACAGCTGTTCCGTCCAAGTATGGGACTCTAGTGTAAGTCCATGATGAATACCAGCCTGAAACCAATAAATAAATTCCCACAAACCTTCAAAATAAATTACTACCCAGTGCTCCCTAGTGACTCGCTTCAAGAGGTGATTCCCGAAGTTCTAATGATAAGTCGTGACCGGTGGGGCCAACCAAGCTGGACTGGACATGAAGACAGTCACTCGACGACGGCATTGGGTGGAGATCACGCTATTTCGCGAACTGACAGAAGTAGGAAATATGGACTACTGGATTCCGACCCAGTTGCTCAATGGTAAAGTGCTCGTCGTGAAACATAAAAATCCCGGGTTCAACCCCTCGGGGGTTCCCGGCGCGCACTGCTCAGGAGTCTCATATTAGGACAGAATAGTTGTCCAGTGCTCCCAGTTTTTGGGTGCTTTTCCAACTGATGTGTGTCCAATATGAATACCAACCTATTCTCGAATTGGTAGTCAAGGTGTTCGGAATACTTTGTATCTTCACATATCAGGTCAGATACGTGGTCTAAGCCTATAATTAATTAAATCTTTGGGCGTTACGATCATCCCTATGAGGCAACTGGAAAGCCGCCAGTCAAAATAACCCATAGAAGATTTTTTTTGTAATGTGAATTTATGTACATATAGTCCTACTATCTGTTAGATCTGACCGCTTCAATATCAGTCTCAAGGTTATCGACCGATCGTCAATGAATGCTTGTAATACTTTACGAACTCAGTTAGGTTGTCTTTGAATTAATCCGTAAGTCAAATCAATAATCGAAAGTGTACGAAATCGTAACCATGTATAGGTTCATGTAACTACATTGTGATTCACACCTAAAGCGTGAGTGCCGAATAGGTTAAATGACTATTTAAACTACAAGAAATGGAGTGGCGTCTGAACTCATTACTGACTCACTGAGCCACACTTAGATAAGTGAAAGGAAGCTGAATGGTTAGACGAGTGAGCTATAGACATTCGAATTTCACCCAATAATTAACGGAGTTGAATTCCGTTCGACTTATCGAGGCTTATGTAACTAGGTATGAGCAATAGCCTTCACACAAAGTTTCGTTCATCACCTTGTGGATGAATATACACATTGTTAAGTTACATCAGTTTAATTTTTAATTCTTTTTAGTTGAAACTAAATTATGAAAAATGAAGTGCTGATTTGCAGATAATAACACGTTGAAACGTTAAATAACCTCGCCTAGTTTACTAGTTCACTAGTTACTAGCCCGCCCTCAGCCCGGATAAGGGGGGAAGGTTGGGTATAGGGATAGCAACCCTACCCCGTAAAACAAATCCACTCGCTAAAGAAACTTCAAAGCACAGAGAAAATGTAAAAATAAACCTATACTTTGCTGGAATCGGGAAGACGAAATGACGCCGGTTAGTGAAAGCCTTCGGGAAGCTAGTTGGCTGATGTATTCACTTTGCCCCATGAAAGCAAAAGTAAGCATATGGATATGGAATCTCTGCACAATGTTTGAACCTAATAAAACTGCCCAGATTGCAAAAGAGATGAGAAGATATAGCATAGAAGTGAGAGGCTAGGAATCTGCGAAAGCGGATGGAATGGAAGTGGACTCTCCAAACTCTTAACTGGAGAGTCAGTAATCTACTCCGATATTATCACCCAGACGACAACTACGAGCACACTGACGGAATGGTTATCATGGTGTCCCCAACAGCATCACAGACTCTCATGCAGAGGAGGCAAAAATCGTCCTACAAAATCATGACAGCAAGATTCAACTCAAAAGGAAGGAAAGTCAAAATCATACAATCATACGCTATGCACCTAAAAATAATGCAGATCGAGAGAAGAAGAAGGTATTCTACAGAAAAATGCAATCAGTAATACACAAGACCACCGACGCCGACGGCGACATCGAAATTCTAATGGGTGTGGTGACATGGATGCCGAACTGAGAGTAAACAACACAGGAAGAGCACTCATCATGGGTCGACAGGAACTCAGGAAAATGAATGAGAATGAAGAAAAATTTCCAGACTTCAGCGCATTTAATGACCAGGTGATTAGATGTAGTAGGTAAAATACAAGTATAGTCACAAAGTGACATGGATTTGGTTTCGACCGATAAGTATACCAAAAATCAGACCAACATCCCCTCAATCTGACTCAAGTGCAGATGCATCCAACAGGACAGGAGATCACGGAGGGGAATAGACGCAGCTTCCTACCATTATAAACTGCAACCAACATTTAAAATCAAGTGGAAAGCCTTCCATTCAAAGACATTGGTGAAAGACCACAGTTCAAGTTTAACACCCAGAACAGAAACTGAAGGACAAAACTACAATTTAGACATCTTCACGTCAGTCATCAGGAAAAAATGGGACACATTAAGCAATATCTCTGAGGAAACCTGAGTGGAAGAACACTGCAACTCTGTGAAAGCAACGTGGAAGAAAACCTGCATAACCGTATTAGGAAGGAAGAAGAAACAAGACAGGATAAGGAATGGATCCCCACGGACACATGCAAGCTGAGAGAGAAGGGAGAGGAAGATGGTGATGGTGAAGCCGAAAGTGAACAACTGCAGTCCAGTCCAGTCCAGGCATGATCAACAAAAAGAGGAACTGAACACAACCTATAAAACACTACACTCGACAAAGAAGTGAATACTGAACGGAAAAACAAAACACACTTCCAACTGAAGCAGAATTGGCTCCAGATGGTAGAGACCTAACAACGTCGCATCAAACAACCAGGTTACTATCTGGCAAGAGATCAACACAGATGAAACCAATAAAAGATAGTGAAGGAAACTTAGTTAGAAAGAGGAGAAACAAAGAAAACGATGGGTTGGTCACTTCAAAAAGCTCTTAAGTCGACCACCACCTGCAACTAGTCCAGAAATACCAACACCACATCAGCCACAGAAGTATCAGTGAACAAAAACACTCCGACAAAAGCCGGGGTCGTGAACGCCACAAAGTTGTAGACTACCGGGAAAGCAGCAGAACTAGATGGAATTCATCCAGAAACACTGAAAAAATACACAGATACATCAACGGACATGCTCACACCACTACTGCTGAAGGTTTGCAAGGAAGGAAGGAAAGGTATCTGTCGAGTGGAAGAAGGCCCACCTTGTCAAACTCCCAAACAAGGGTGACCTAAGTCTTTGCAAAATCTGGCGCGCAATCATGCTCCTTCCCTGACAACCTCAAGCAAAATATTAAGCCACGTCTTCCTGGAGACAATTAAAACATCCTCTGCATTCAACATTATCACCGGAACAGTCTCCCTGGATAGCTGGATAGCCTGGCTTCAGCAAAAACAAATCATATGCCGATCAAATTTTAACGCTACGCTACGCATCATCATACAACACAGCATAGAATCACAGTCAACTCAACCTCAACTTCACCAACTCTGAAAATAACTCCAATAGCCTCGACCAACAAGTAATTTGACAGGCAGCTCCTTCAACACTACGGTTTCAGTATCACAAACCTTTATCAACCAACTCACTCAACACCTATATGACGACGCTACATCCCAACTGATTCACAACGGAAACCTCACTGACGCATTTCAAGTGAAGATAGGAGTAAGACAAGGTTCCCACCTACTATCACCGATCATCTTCCTGTTTGTGGTCGACTGGACTAAATCATGCAACAAACTGTGAGGAGTGCGAGAACAGGGCATACACTGTTTGACCAATGAAAAGACCCCAGAAGAAGAAGAAGAAGAAGAAGAAGAAGAAGAAGAAGAAGAAGATCTGGATTTCGCCACCAATGATGATGATGATGATGATTTATGTCTAATATCTTGTCACACAAGCTCGAAGACCTACAGGCGAAAACCAACAAGTTGACAGAAGAGGCAGGGCAACCAAGACCTGACTTCCTTCAGGTGAACGTACAAAAGACAGAGGTAGAGGTGATGAAGATACCCAATCATCATCATCATCAACAACAACAACAAGCACCAATCATCATCAACAGGAGAAATCTAAAGGAACTTGTCTCTTCCACCTACCTACCTACCTACCTACTTACCTACCTAGGTAGCATCGTTTCAACTACAGGCAGCACAGGCACACCTGAGGACGTCAAAGCCACGATCGGAAAGACACCAATACAGGCATTCCTGCATTAATCTGAAATCAATGTGGAGATCTACTCCACTGCACTCAGCACAAAGCAAGAATAACATCCGCATTCTCAACACTTATATCAGTCAAGTCAGTGCTTCTATGTGATGGTTCAGAGACTCGGAGCATCACGAAAAGCATTTCCAACAAACTGCACACATACATCATCAACAGCTGCCACCTACACTCACTCCATACTGATACTGAAGATCAGATAGATGGCCAGAATAAGAAGAATAAGCAACAAGGAACTCAATCTGGCCTGGCAATGAACCAACGAGGAACGTATCACACAACAAATATGCACAAGAACAAAGTGAAGATGGATTGGATCGGGCATACACTGAGAAGACCATTTGGGGACATCATCAGCCAGGTCAGGCCAGGCTCTCGAGTGGAATGCAAAGGGGAATCGACGAGTTAGGTGTCCGAGGGTGACATGGAGGAAATCATGTGAGGAAGAAATGAAAGCTTGTCGGCAGTCGTGGAGCGAGTTTCAAAAGACTGAAGCGAACAGAGTAAACTAGAGGTGTGCTACTGAAGCCCTATGTTACACTTTGAATCGAAAATGACAAATAATAGAAAGGTAATAAAAGGTACAATGCAATAATCATGAATAGTTTCAAGAATGGGTCAGCTACTTCTTGCTAACTAGCTCTGTAGTGAGTTCATTAGGGCATATTTCCGTAACTGTCAATTTCAATATGAGATGCACTAATGCTACAATAATTCCTTACCAATACGACACACCAACATCTCATGACCTAATCCAAACTATAGTTTCGCAGATGGTAAACACTTAAACCCTAAGAATGGATTTCATACACACTTAATCAGGCATAAGGAAAGATAAATAGAGAAACACAATGACTACAAATCAATAAAAACAGTATAATGCAAAACGATTAGCACTAGTCTATAACTTTGTCATTAGTTGAAACCATGTTTTGTTACATAAATAAAACGATAAATAGGTTAGTCACTGTATAGATGACAATAGATGCACGCACACATACAACAAACATGAATTTCATTATAGCACGTGAGTATTATAGTAAGATGGAGACAAGGACGCAAGGTTCGTAAATACGCATTAGTGCACGCACATGTACCTACCAGTTTGTGTATGTTCCAATACGCTGTAATCTAGTAAATGGAGCCAACATTGGCAATCAACACTACCGAAATATACCAAAAATTACAGGCTTTTTGACCAACGAAACAACATTAACCAGCGTGTTAATTATTCATTCACTCTGGCTTTTTATATGATGATGAAAAAGGCTTTACGATATTAACTGACCAATTTTGACTGTGAATTCGCTAGTTTAGAAATAGCCAAAGATTCTACACTTATCACATTAGAGATTAGATAGAGAAGACAAGTGTTAACTCTTGTCTTTTTTATAAATAACTTTGAGGAAATATGAATTATGATTCCTCACAGCAAAGTATGATATATGGCTTATTGACGGCTGAATGGCTCCACTATCGATATAATTTCCCGTTGTAATGTTAACACTTTAAGAGTTGTGGTTTTCTAAGGATATTTAGAATATACTTGGCAATAGTTACGATGCAACAATACGTCTATGGAATGTGACGCTTAAACCTGCTTTCTGAATTTCAACTCTCTCCATCTATCTGAACTGACCGGAGTATCAGAGTCAGAATGGAAGTGAATATGATCTCATTTAAATGTGTAAGTATACCTACACATGAACTTTTTTATTTCACACAAATGCTCTTGACTTTTTGAAAGTTACATCTGTCTAACATTTGTAAACTGATGCATTTCATCTGCTTATACTTTATTCGTTGTACTATGCAAAATGATGTACCTAAAGAAGCCTACTCACTTGGTAATACTGAAGTTAGATACGCATAGACCAATATGGTTCTACGGATAATGGGATTAAATTATAAGTTTTTTCAATAGACTTAGCATTTTCATAAATCAAACAATCACTAATAGATTATCATTTTGACTATCTGAGATAGCCGTAGTTTGGCAGAGTAGTATTCATACAGAGTGGTGATTAAGGGTGAAATAAAAATGTGGACCGCGGTAGGATTCAAACCAGCGACCGCCAGGTTTCTCATCTGATGCAAGCAGACCCGACTGCTGACATTTTTATTTCACTTCAATCACCAAGCGGGTTTTACGTGACTGCCATGTGAATTCGTGATGCGTTACTATCACCTGGTCGTACTCAGTCTGGCTGCCCAGTCAGAACTTCCCGGTGGTCACTGATTAGAATCCCACCATGGCCTGAATTTTCGTTTCATCCTCAGTCATCACCCAGTATTAATCAACAATAGGTTTGTTAACTGAGTTATAAAGCGGCAGTCATTGACTTATTGTTTGGATTCTTTTAGGTGGAGTCAGACTAGAGCTAATCGCTAAGTGGTTTAAACAGGAATGCCTGAAGTGATGTACCACAGCGTTATATTACTATCTAAAAGCGCAATATTAATATTTACAGGTAATTCGAAGGAGAATACGAAAAGTTTATTATAAACTATCTCTTTCGAGATTATCATGAAAATCCGAACTTACTAAATCTCATAATCTTGCATGCAAACAAATCTCTCCTTATCAAATAACAGTTTTAAGAAACTGTAAACGGATGATCTGTCTGGACCTAGATGGCATATTGTCAAAGTCTCTGATTTCCAGACTAAATGTTGCGTATTCGGATATCCGAAATGAAATGAACTCTCTCGGACCTGCAGAACTAATTTTCAAAGGAGTTCTAATATGCATGAAACAAACGCTTCATGCTGACCGGTTACTAACACTGCATAATATGATACTGCTGGCACCACTACAGATTCAAAAGCAATTATTTAGCTTCAGAGACTATTGTCGCATGACACCAGCCAATCAGTAACAGCATATGAAAAATTAAACAAACGATTTTCAACTTGAGAAGGTAGGATATTTAGGAATCAGACATCTAGCAGTTTAGAGCAGACAGCATAACTTGCCTATCGACATAAATCGGTCAAAAAAAGGATAAGCAGATGACTGTCAATAAAAATCCTGAGTTAAATCCCCTTAATTGGTGTTAACAAGTGCCGGTAACAGTAGTACTGATGGAAAATCGCAGGCGGTGGAATACTTGTTTCATTTTGTTTGAGACTCATCAGCTCTTCATGACAAGAACTGCAGTAATTGTTATTGTTCCCGTAGAAACTTGAATCCAACGATTGTCGCGCGAACACCAAAAGCATTATACAGTGGGCTACCGAGGTGTGATGAAAAAAAAACAAACGGCATTCTGGAACACACTACTAGTTGCTACTTATCTTTACCATCAAAATAAAACAGAACCAATATCGAAGTATTCATATGAAGAACCTATATATCAACACTGACCGACCGATTCACTTCAGACAAATTATATACCTATAGTAATATTGACAAAATGTATGCTTAAATATAGACATAGGTTGCTGTTAACAACTTCGTATGCAAGCAGTTTGAATCATTTTCAATTAGTCCATGCTGAGAACTTAAGGTCTGACCAACCGCACGTCTGAATAGCCTCATACGATTTTATCTACTTGTCTGTAACATGAACCTTAGATATTATATTACCAGACCAACACACATACTTATGCGTATGACAGTAATATTAGTAAATAAATTCTTGTTTTCACTAACAGTACACTGTGATATCAGTAATATATAGATGAATGCCAAAGCTGGTAAATGACTTCAAATAATATTGTTGGTCCATTGCATAAGCATAATTACCAGCAGGACAATGTGTGTTATGAAACCAATATAACCATCAAATCTGTAGTCAATTCAGAAGTACAGTTTGATTTGCAATGTGATCACAAACAGCTTTCGATAGAAGTTTTTAGCCAGTGAAATTCAAAGGTGAAAAAGAATAAAATAACTCTCGGCATACTTGTATATGCTAAAAAAAGGTGCGGAAATTTAACTCTTCCTGGATTTGGTTTCATTTACTTGTGATGCTATGAAAAGTACCACAGTTGAGCAGATAAGTTAGTCACCACATCGTACAATTAAAGAAAGTAAACTATTTATCCTACATTATTCAGGAATGATGTTGTAACAGCACCAATATTAAGATAAATAAGTGGTTGCAAAACACTGGTGAAACTCAGAAGTTTAGTTGTAAGAATGCAGTTTATTTTAGTTGGCCTTTGAAGTGTGAAAACGACATATTCTAGTCGACCTGAAGTATCTACAGAGTTCATTTAATTCAGTATGATATCTGAGTATAAAATAACTCTCACCACATGAAGGGGACTTCTAACCTAACCCGATAACAGCTCTACAGCAGTGTAGATGGATGGTGCTTATACAGAACGCTATGAAAATCAAAATGCTCTCAGCAACTACATGAGCATTCATACAGTAGGCAATGAGCCACATTTATTGCGTGACGGCTAATGACACTACCTGGACGCCTACACTTCCGTACGTGTAGCGGGGTTCGAACCCGTGACCCTTTGGTCAAACATTAACTACTAACACTAATAAGCAACAGCTCAGGAACACCATGAATTGCAAGAAATACATCACACTTTAAACACAAGCTATCTGCCCTTAAAAGACTAATATTTTCTTAAAATTAGCATTACTTATTTGCTTACTGCACACGAAAACCAACAGTACTTGGAATTATGTAGATAAATATCAGCAAAACTTACAATTCATTTATAAAACACACAAAATTAAAACCGGCCCTAGGTATACCATAGTGATGTTTGTCAACACGACAAAAGGAAATACTATGGAAATAATACTATGAGGTTACCAAAATCTTGTTAAGTAGTTATACAGATGGAACCACAGAATGAAAATTGAAATCATTGCTTCATGTTATCATAATGTATTCACCTAAATATCCGTATGAATTTGCTTCGAGTCAAAACGATCTAAGCGCTTCTTCTAGTACTACACAGAAGAAGAGAATTACATGCTTACTGGCGTAATACAACTTTATTATAACTCATTCACACAAATCACTTAATCACATCAATGACATAAATCATCAGAGTAAGACAAGGTCGACTCATTTGTGATTACTACAGACTACACAAAACGCGTACTACGTATGCCTAGTCACCGATTGCCTCGTCACACAATGTTGGCTGAGGTGGGTCCAGGCTGGAAAAAGGCCCGAGGTGGCCAGACTAAAACATGGCACCAATGTATGAAGTCTCTGACTGTTGGTTTAAGCCATGTAGGACGATGCAGACTAGGTGGTTGGGGTTTGCGGGACAAGAGGAACCAGTGGTTGGAGACCCTAGGTGATATGGCTCAGAACCGAAGTCAGTGGCGCAGATGTATACACATATTATCCTCATCTTAACAACGCTATACCGAATCTCACCATTTTGTCACTCCTCTTTCTTTTCTTTTCGTACTTTATATTTCTTTTGACTCCATTCACTTATCTTCATCCTTCACCTCACTACCTTTTTACTTGATGCGCTGATATGAGGTGTGGCAACTCGGACCGTTACGCAGTAATGCCTGGTCCTATGTTGATAATGATGATCATGATGATGACACAAAACGCTAGAACAGTCCATTCACATAATTATAACAAACAGTAACACCTCTAGATTTTATTACGTCATCCTACAGCTACAAAGTTATCATATTACTATGAAAGAAATCTAAGTGATATTTAGAATATTATGCTCATTTAAATACCCCATTTCATAAACTTTCACAGAATCTTATAAGTGGCAGATAAATAATGTATAAATCCACTGAAACTCCAGTAAGACACACACTTTTGCCATTTCTGATCCCATAATGAATAAGGTAAATGTCACCGAACCACTTCAGACATACGAAACTCATCATAAATTTTGAATATATCAACAGAAAAAAAATTTAAAAAAATATCTAAAGTAACATAGAACAACTCATAACTATAAAAAAGGGGTAATATATTTATCGCCTATTAGAGAAGACCAGTAGTGCTGGTGAAAGACCACACAGTTCAAGTTTAACACCCAGAACAGAAACTGAAGGACAAAACTACAATTTAGACATCTTCACGTCAGTCATCAGGAAAAAATGGGACACATTAAGCAATATCTCTGAGGAAACCTGAGTGGAAGAACACTGCAACTCTGTGAAAGCAACGTGGAAGAAAACCTGCATAACCGTATTAGGAAGGAAGAAGAAACAAGACAGGATAAGGAATGGATCCCCACGGACACATGCAAGCTGAGAGAGAAGGGAGAGGAAGATGGTGATGGTGAAGCCGAAAGTGAACAACTGCAGTCCAGTCCAGTCCAGGCATGATCAACAAAAAGAGGAACTGAACACAACCTATAAAACACTACACTCGACAAAGAAGTGAATACTGAACGGAAAAACAAAACACACTTCCAACTGAAGCAGAATTGGCTCCAGATGGTAGAGACCTAACAACGTCGCATCAAACAACCAGGTTACTATCTGGCAAGAGATCAACACAGATGAAACCAATAAAAGATAGTGAAGGAAACTTAGTTAGAAAGAGGAGAAACAAAGAAAACGATGGGTTGGTCACTTCAAAAAGCTCTTAAGTCGACCACCACCTGCAACTAGTCCAGAAATACCAACACCACATCAGCCACAGAAGTATCAGTGAACAAAAACACTCCGACAAAAGCCGGGGTCGTGAACGCCACAAAGTTGTAGACTACCGGGAAAGCAGCAGAACTAGATGGAATTCATCCAGAAACACTGAAAAAATACACAGATACATCAACGGACATGCTCACACCACTACTGCTGAAGGTTTGCAAGGAAGGAAGGAAAGGTATCTGTCGAGTGGAAGAAGGCCCACCTTGTCAAACTCCCAAACAAGGGTGACCTAAGTCTTTGCAAAATCTGGCGCGCAATCATGCTCCTTCCCTGACAACCTCAAGCAAAATATTAAGCCACGTCTTCCTGGAGACAATTAAAACATCCTCTGCATTCAACATTATCACCGGAACAGTCTCCCTGGATAGCTGGATAGCCTGGCTTCAGCAAAAACAAATCATATGCCGATCAAATTTTAACGCTACACTACGCATCATCATACAGTCGTCATCACAGTCAACTCAACCTCAACCTCAACCTCAACTTCACCAACTCTGAAAATAACTCCAATAGCCTCGACCAACAAGTAATTTGACAGGCAGCTCCTTCAACACTACGGTTTCAGTATCACAAACCTCTATCAACCACCTCACTCAACACCTATATGACGACGCTACATCCCAACTGATTCACAACGGAAACCTCACTGACGCATTTCAAGTGAAGATAGGAGTAAGACAAGGTTCCCACCTACTATCAAAATAACCCATAGAAGATTTTTTTTGTAATGTGAATTTATGTACATATAGTCCTACTATCTGTTAGATCTGACCGCTTCAATATCAGTCTCAAGGTTATCGACCGATCGTCAATGAATGCTTGTAATACTTTACGAACTCAGTTAGGTTGTCTTTGAATTAATCCGTAAGTCAAATCAATAATCGAAAGTGTACGAAATCGTAACCATGTATAGGTTCATGTAACTACATTGTGATTCACACCTAAAGCGTGAGTGCCGAATAGGTTAAATGACTATTTAAACTACAAGAAATGGAGTGGCGTCTGAACTCATTACTGACTCACTGAGCCACACTTAGATAAGTGAAAGGAAGCTGAATGGTTAGACGAGTGAGCTATAGACATTCGAATTTCACCCAATAATTAACGGAGTTGAATTCCGTTCGACTTATCGAGGCTTATGTAACTAGGTATGAGCAATAGCCTTCACACAAAGTTTCGTTCATCACCTTGTGGATGAATATACACATTGTTAAGTTACATCAGTTTAATTTTTAATTCTTTTTAGTTGAAACTAAATTATGAAAAATGAAGTGCTGATTTGCAGATAATAACACGTTGAAACGTTAAATAACCTCGCCTAGTTTACTAGTTCACTAGTTACTAGCCCGCCCTCAGCCCGGATAAGGGGGAAGGTTGGGTATAGGGATAGCAACCCTACCCCGTAAAACAAATCCACTCGCTAAAGAAACTTCAAAGCACAGAGAAAATGTAAAAATAAACCTATACTTTGCTGGAATCGGGAAGACGAAATGACGCCGGTTAGTGAAAGCCTTCGGGAAGCTAGTTGGCTGATGTATTCACTTTGCCCCATGAAAGCAAAAGTAAGCATATGGATATGGAATCTCTGCACAATGTTTGAACCTAATAAAACTGCCCAGATTGCAAAAGAGATGAGAAGATATAGCATAGAAGTGCGAGGCTAGGAATCTGCGAAAGCGGATGGAATGGAAGTGGACTCTCCAAACTCTTAACTGGAGAGTCAGTAATCTACTCCGATATTATCACCCAGACGACAACTACGAGCACACTGACGGAATGGTTATCATGGTGTCCCCAACAGCATCACAGACTCTCATGCAGAGGAGGCAAAAATCGTCCTACAAAATCATGACAGCAAGATTCAACTCAAAAGGAAGGAAAGTCAAAATCATACAATCATACGCTATGCACCTAAAAATAATGCAGATCGAGAGAAGAAGAAGGTATTCTACAGAAAAATGCAATCAGTAATACACAAGACCACCGACGCCGACGGCGACATCGAAATTCTAATGGGTGTGGTGACATGGATGCCGAACTGAGAGTAAACAACACAGGAAGAGCACTCATCATGGGTCGACAGGAACTCAGGAAAATGAATGAGAATGAAGAAAAATTTCCAGACTTCAGCGCATTTAATGACCAGGTGATTAGATGTAGTAGGTAAAATACAAGTATAGTCACAAAGTGACATGGATTTGGTTTCGACCGATAAGTATACCAAAAATCAGACCAACATCCCCTCAATCTGACTCAAGTGCAGATGCATCCAACAGGACAGGAGATCACGGAGGGGAATAGACGCAGCTTCCTACCATTATAAACTGCAACCAACATTTAAAATCAAGTGGAAAGCCTTCCATTCAAAGACATTGGTGAAAGACCACAGTTCAAGTTTAACACCCAGAACAGAAACTGAAGGACAAAACTACAATTTAGACATCTTCACGTCAGTCATCAGGAAAAAATGGGACACATTAAGCAATATCTCTGAGGAAACCTGAGTGGAAGAACACTGCAACTCTGTGAAAGCAACGTGGAAGAAA